ATTCTTTTTTAATCAATTTACAGTATTGCAGAAATGATAACAAACGGATACGAAATGATTCGATACGTTGGAAATGGATGAAATTTTGAAAAATTTCGGCCAATTTTGAGAATTGGACGAAAAAAAAAACAGTTGAAAATTGATGAAATATGGATCAAAATTGGAAAACTGATCCATTTTTCAATGCACAGTGAATCTGATACAGCAAATTGGGATCTGGTCACTCAAATCCAATCGGATGCGACATAATTTACCTCCGAAGCAACCAAATCCAATAGGAAATAATTCTGCGGATAAGGCTGTAAGTGTGTCTGATCCGAATGATCTTTTGGATATTTTTGAATCCAATTGGTGGTTTGTCGGATCAGATTTGTATTATTTCGTATATTTCATTTTTTTCGGATTGGTTTGTAAAATTTGTGCAATTAGGATCCGATTGGTTTTGAGTTACCAGAGGGGTCCATCAAATTAGCAATCGGGTCCAAAAATATCAAAAAAAAATTGATTTAGTCCCTGTATTCTATGTATAAAAATAATTCAACGCTACTGAACACTCGACTATCAACCGAAATTGGAAAAATTCAAAACTCGACCATTTATGGCGATTTGAGGCCTATTTGCATGTTTTTGTTTTTGTTTTCCTCATTCTTCTTTTTTGTAAAAACTAAACTTGGTGTGGGGAAAAAGATCGAGGAATTACAAAAAAAGAACGCAACGAGCAAATGGGAAGCTTCGACGTCTTCGTCGTCGTGCTCGTTTTTGCCCGTCAACTTCGATGCTGTTGATTTATGAATAGCGACCAGCACGAAACTAACTTTTCGGCTTCCGCAAATGGCAAATGAGCTCAGACGAAAAAAAATATAAGAAGGCGAATTGAAATATGAGAAGCGAGTTTTTTTTTTCCCTCGAAAAAAAAATTGAAAGTTTATTGGTAGCTGAAAAAGGCACACGGAGGATGTTATTGAGCGGACGAGCCAAAAAATCAAAATAAACACTAATTTCGAGATCCGATTTCTTCTAATTCATTCGCTTATTAGAATATGAGCTGATGGAGCAACGTGGTGGTCCACTCAAGCCAAGGACCCAAAAACTTGGATCGAGCCTCAAAAGGCGAAGAATGAACCGACTAAGTTACTATGTAAATGATAAGGTTGTATAATAGAATAAGCATTTTGCGGGCAGCGTTTTTTTTTTCTGAGAATTTCTCAAAAAATAATAAGCAATCACTCAATTTCCCTCACAAATCGATAGCAGATGTTTGAAGCATTTCTTTTTGAAATTCATTGGCCGCTGAAGAAGTATTATAAGCTTCTCAATTTGTCTGTAATGAAAGGAAACGAATTTTAATTTCTTGGCATTAATACATAGATTAAGCATGAATCAGTGATATGCGAAAAGATTTGAATGTTTAATTTCCAAACAATAAAAAAAATGTCGTCGTGGATGGACGAATTTGGCGTTTAATTGATGATTTAAGAAGTTAATCAGGCAATAAAAAATTGTAAAAATTACACATCAATTGGTTTCCGATGCCTTTAAAATTAAAATAAAATAAACGAAAAAAAATTGAATGGAAAATTTGAATCAAATGAAAAAATTTATAATACCGTAATTTCGAGAAATTAAAGACGCATGGCAACAAATTGTCTAATGGATCTCACAGATTTCTTCCTCATATAATTACAGTACCCATTGCACTTTTTTTGAATTGTCATTGGAAAAATGTGCAATTTTTTTTACTATTTTTATTGCAGGAATTATTCGGACCCTTGAGACAATTCGTTGCCGTACCCCCTATTCTTTCGAAGTTGATGTATAAATTAAAAAAAAATATTTTTTATCGTTTATTTTATGAAATTTTTGTAAATATTAAATATTGTTTAAAGGCCTCGGCAACAAATTGTCTCATGGGTCTCGCCGCGTTCTTCATCATTTAATTACAGTAACCGTTGCATTTTCTTGTGTGTATTTTTTTTACAATTTTTTTTACTGCATAAATATGCCCATTAAAAAAATGAAATGACCTCCTACCAACACTGCAATTCAATACTTTTGTTATGGTACTATGCTGATTTTTTGAATTAAAAAAAAAACAAAAAAAACTCAAAGACTAGTTTTTTAGTGCAATTTTGATAGTTTCTTTGTTGAGATTTCAAAAATGTGCATTTTCAGAATTTGATGGAATAGTTTTTCCATGCGAGACTCAATTCAAGTGATAACACAATGGTAGATCATTTTTTAAATATGGAGAGAAAAGCAATACTGATTACGTAATATTATTTAGGGCTTAGCTAGAAATTGCGATAGCTGTTTAAAGGCACATGTGGGAAACTGTTAAAATATTAATATTTTGTTCGTCTTTGGAAAATGGAAAAAAATGTCAGTTTAAAGAAACCGCTGAAAATCAAACGAAAACAGATTTGCCAAGATATTTGGCATGGCCGAAGATTTCCCAGAGGGTCTTCGGACCCTCCTATCATTCGTCTGATTTTCCCCAAGCAAGACAATCTCGTTGATAGACATTGCTTATTTGGAAATCGTTGAACTCTTATGTTTACACAGAATCCGGTCTCGTGCGGAAATGGCACAATCATATATACATATGAATTCACACAAATATGGGCATTATTGTTGTTGTCCACCGACATTTTTTTTGTGCTCGCAATTCTTCAATTTTGAACAAATTCAACAAACCGATTTTCGAACATCGACCAATTTTTGGTGCCGCCGAGATTTCAGCTTTTCGCTAAACTTCGAAAAGCAATTTGTTTGAGAATCGGAAATGCAGAGATTTTCAGCAGAGTCTTAAAAGTGGGAGCTCTGTGCAGAGTTTGAGGTGTCTCAGCAACAAAGTAGCTTGAGCTCGACATTCTCGAGATATCGATGATTACAGTATTAGCCGTGCCAAACCACATGAAGGAGGCGGGACCATCAAATTCGCGGAATTAGTGTCGATTTAAATTTAATATTAAATGCGCTTTAATGCAATGTACGCAATCTCGCGTAGCCGCATTGGCACCTAGCCAATTATTATTTTTGAATTTAGTTTGTCCGAGTGGTTTGAAGTCGACAAAAACATAAAAATCAGAAAAATGGAGTTGAACCTATTGTGAAAAAATGAGGAATCTGAGAAGCTGCAGCGATATCCAATGTATTGTGTGCGTACGCCGAGTCGCACATCTCCATCTACAGTAATCCCAACAGAAAATTATTTAATTAATTATTGATAGTTTCTTTTTATATAAAACAATAACAGTATACATAAAATCATAAACTCGCCAAGAAAATACAGAAAAAAAATAAAATAATAATAATTTATTAAATAATTTTTAGTTGAGATTACTGTAGCTCAAATTGAACTGTGCGACTCGGTGTATGCACACAATACATTGGATATCGCTGCAGTTTTTCACATTTCTCAATTTTCCACAATATGTATGTACATTATTTCAATTTCGGGCAGAACTGGAGAAAGCGAATTCGAAAAATTTATAAACTAAACAAAAAAAGGTGAACACAAGAATATTTTGTGGGCAAAAAAAAGTGCAAGTCTTCACAAATCGCATTGCGTCGCAAAATTTGCATATCTGTAAAGAAAAAGAATTGAACTTTGTGCTTCTTGTCTCCGAATTTGGATGCAAATTGGTAAAAGTTGAATCAAACATTCGACAACAAAACCCTCCGGTCCAATCGTTGGTTTCTGTGCCCCCCAATTCGTTTCTGCCAGTCGACGCGAATTCTGTTTGCGCATGTACTATACTCCGAGGCGCTCCTTCATTCCGTCGCTCTCTTTTCTATTCAATTTGCTCATTTTTGAACCCCCGCCAACACACGTTACTATTAGGTTTTTTTGTGTTGTGTTGTAAACTTGTCAATTTTTGTTGCCTACTATTTTTTTTGCAAAAAAAAAACGCCTAGTGGATCTCCTCACGCATAAGCCGATTACAAACAAACAACGAAACAAACATTCATAAATTTTTGATGGCATTGTTCCACACCATATTTGGTTTATAATCCGCGACAATGACAACGCGATTCCACGACTATATCGGGGTAGGTCAGCTTCTTCTCAATGTTGTTCGTCGCAAATTTTCAACTATCCCCATTTTCTCAAGTGTTTGTTGGTTTTTTTTTTTTAAATTGTTGCGCTACTCAAGATTCGACGCCTACGATTTAAGCGAGTAAATTGTCCGCAGATGAGTACTTAAAACATAACATTCAATGGTACATGCAAGAATTTCCATTTTTTATTGAGAACAACTTGCTAAAAATTAATTCGAAAAACTAAGAGAAGCTATTTTCCTTCGAGCAAACTCTCACGTAAATCGAATAAAATATTTTGGGATTCTTTGAGAAACTAACGTGTCTCGATAATATTTTAGATTTTTCTCAATCAACTTTAGAAATTATTATAAGATTTCAAAATTTATTGAGATAATTTAGAACTTGCTCAATAAATTTTAGAAAGTCTGATAAGACATTATTATTATTTGATTTGCCTGAGTAATTTTGATCAAAATTCGATGTGAAATTATTCTTTGAGAAAAAAAATGCATTTGCACTTTTTCGCTTCCGTTGTAATACAATTTCGCAACTCGACCCACTGAGTGACTCATTGTGCAATTGTTTATTATTCGTTCGGCCTCTTCTGTTTTGCTTCCGTTAATCAATTGAACGAAATCCGCAAATGCGAATCAAATCGGGTGACGACAAAACTGGATTCGCAAATTCAAAACGCCGCCAGACGAATGGTTGACCTGTTACGCGTCAAACCGAAAGAAATCGCTTCGCGTTTATCGTCGTCTGATAATCTCACCACTTCTCCAATCGTCTTCCTTCTATTTTTTTTTCACTTGTTTTATTATCTGCGTTTTGCTTGTCATGCGAAATTTCGTATTAGTGTTTTTTTTTTGTTAAAATTTTATTTCGAAATATGTATATCCAAAAACATTCGACTCGTGGCCTCCTTTCTAAAGTTTTAACGCATTTCTCGATTGCAGATGAATCGCGAAAAGGACGTTTCGACGCGATTGATTCGACCAACGATACCCGATATTCATGTCGACAAACTTGCTCTTTTTGTCGAAAGATGGAATCACGAATGGGAAATTGACGCCAGTATTCAAGTAAAACCTTTTTTTGCTAAAATCGCCATAAATCAAAAAAATTTGAATTTTCTCATTATAAAAATACTGTGCGATGGAGCGAATTTGTTGCAGACAATTTTTTTTGAAAATTTGAAAATCGAGTTCTCAAAATCGCTTTGCATAATTATTTCGTCTACAATTTTTTTGAATTTTAAGTGTTTCTTATTCAATCGTTTTTCCGCTTCAGATTTACGATGAAGGAATCGCTCAATACATGCTCGTTGACATCGAATCGCACTACAAATTCTTCGCTGCACTGATCCTCGGAAAACCGAGTTTGCGGTGCAAGATTGTTAAAGAAGAGCCAAGAGATGAGCTCGACGAGCACGACAACCATATTGTTCTTGTGAGTTGATTCGGCTTGATCATCAAATACATCAACTCCCATTTTCAGTTGGGCGGCGAAAAATTGACGCAAGAAGCGCAGAGAGGAATCGAGTTCTTGAAAACAGTCCTCCACAACAGAGGATATCGCTTTGATCAATGAATGTATATAAAATAAGAAATAAAAAAAATAAATTCATTAGAGGAGAACCAACAAGTTGACATAACATTGACAATTTCTCTTTAAATGTGTTCGGCGTACTTCTGAACCAGCTTTTTGAAGAAGGCTTTGCCCTTCCTCTGAGAAACGAGATCTCCATATGGAGTTGCAGCGGCTCCGAAGATGGCCTGGAACACCATCACTTCTCTCGGATACTTCTTCGAGAGGTCCACGAATTGCTGGTCGCGCTCGGCGAACTTCTTCGTCTTATCGTCAAGGATGGAGAGCACTTCTTTATGGACCGCCGACAGGTTGCTGATGAACTTGTCGACGTCAGTGATGATCTTGGCCTTCGCCTCGGCGGCTTTCACCATGAATTTCTCCAATGCTTCCTAAATTTTAGTCGTCCAAATTGAGTTTTAATCATTATTCAACCTTGTGGCCGCGCTCAATCGCCAACTTCTTAAGGGCTTCTTCAACCTCGCCAATCGTCAGCTTGTCGTCGTCAATTATCTTGTAATAGTCTTCGAGGTTCTCTTTTGCACCGGCAGCATCGCCAGCGGCAGCGGCTTTCCGCTCGAAATGCGGAACAGCCGATGCAGCCACGATCAATCCGAACAGAACGATGAGATTCGAATTCAGCATACTTTGATTACTGGGAGGTTTTGATTGCGATCCGAGTTTGCCCGATCGTTTTATATTGTCAAAAATGGAGCACCGACGGGTCACAAATTCAATTAATAAGCAATACGTGAATTTTATTTATTTACTTTTATTTGAAGATTTTGAATAAAAAATGATTATTGCAATATTTTGGCACAACTCGATCACGCAGAATAATCATTAACTGATGTCATATCATATATTTGCGTTATATCCAACAATGTACCAAAAATGGTATCGCTGCGACAGCTCAAAGAAAAATGGACGTCCAATAGAGAAATGGTCCGTATTAGGACTACACTACAATGGGATTTTCGATTTTTTTTTTAAATTGCGAAAGAACCGGAAAATCCTCAATAACGGCCATCAATTTGGTAATTAGTTCTCAAATTTTTGTTGAATAAAAAATTCATTAAAATAACACAGTTGGAATTTGATGTGAAATTTCATGAATATCGTGAAAATAATATATAGTCAGCGTCCGGCGACTGCTGTACACGGGTAGATTTACGCGCATGCGTCTTTCGAAATGGTCTCGCACGGACTAACTCGTTATTTCGCATTTTATGGGTCAGTTTGATAATTTTTAAATCGAACGACGTTGAAAATTCAAGGAGATGCGAAACTCATCAAGAAAAATGAAGCAGTTCGCGTGAAAACAGCAAAATAAGCATTCACGCGTGGCGAGACCTTTTCAAGGCGCATGCGCGTAAATCTACCCGCGTACAGCACTCGCCGGACGCCGACTATATTTATATTTCGAATTAAATATTATGAAAAAATTTATCGTGAAAATTGTCGTTGGACGAACAGTCCTGGTTGCGTCGGGATCAATCTCCCCTGAAGTCAATTGCGGAAAATACTGGACTTAAATTAGTCAAAATGAAAATTCTCATTCAAATCTGGAGCCAATCGCTGCTAAATTCTCGAATGCGCACGATAGCAGGGATGATTGGTAGGCATTGACAGCACTCTCGACGAGCAAATCTCCAGAAGGTGCAGAGCTGGTTGGGTCTCTCTCTCTCTCTCCCTCTATCTCTTCAAAACTTATAGAACGCGTCGATGCCAAAACCAGGAAGAACCGAATTCTCTCAAAATCATGGGCGATTCCGCCACAGAATAATCCGATTTGTGGGGTTCCATTTTGGCACCTTAAAATATTTTCAACTCTGAAATTGGTCCAACATGTGGCCCGTCTAAAACAGTAGAATGGTGTTGTCGATATCGTGACACAAATTGGCTAAATGCCCCCGAAATGGTCTTGAGGCGACCGAACTCACTTTGTGTACTCCACACGGACAATTAACAAAGTGGCGTAAAAATCCACCGCGCGTAAATCGACACTCATGTGGCGAGACCCAATTACGACGACGATGTTCCTAGGAGAGACCACGATGAAATGGACGCCAGAAATAATGATGGTCCGATTTAATCAGATCCATTTTAATGTAATTCCAATTCAGTTAATAAAAATATTGGCATTGATCGAAAAAAGCTGCTGACTCCAATTCGTTGGTCAATCCACTGACCCGACTGAATTGGTAAGACTTCATCCACAGTACACCAGAAGCTTGATAATCACCTTACAATAATGGGAAGAGCTTTCTAGAAAGTACAAAATTTGTTCTATGCTTTTTTTTCAAACATTTGTTAGAGTGATCTGATTAATCGAATCCAATCAGATCCGACGGATCATTATTGGATCGTCACCGAGTCCGATAGGGCTTTAGTTACGCGATCACTCAAATATCCATATTTTAATCAGAAATTTTAACCCAAAAATAATGCTTGTTTTCAATTTGGCGTTTTGTTTGTTTGTTTTGCGCCGCTCAAAAACAACATTCCGATTTTTATATTTTGTTATTTGAGCCAGAAAAAAACATTTTCTCTCCATTTATTGCCCACATTTTCATTGTACCGCTTCAATAATAATAGTTTTTAAATAAAATCATATTTTTTTGCATTTTGCAGAAAATAAAATTAGCAACATTTCGCCAGAATTCATCCACTGATTCATCGGAAATATCAATTCCCCAATTCACAAAAAAATAATTCTTATCAAAAGAAATTTTCCAAATTTTTAAGATTCTTATCGATTTTTGATTATTCACCAATATTTCTGATATTTTTGTCACGAATTTAAATCTACTGTTTCATTCCTTCAATTTTAACTCTTTTCATTATTTCATCAATGCTTATAGACGAAGCCAAATTGCTCTGTGCTCACCTCGGCCAAAAATTGTTGTGCTCAAAAATGCATTAACCTCTGTTTATCTTTCATTCATAACAAATCTCGTAACATGACACCACGCCAATTTTTTATCCAATAATCCGATCCACTATAAAAGGAAACAATTCTCGCCAAATTCCTGCAAATTCTATGTTTCACATAATTGACCCAAATTTGATAGTATTTAGTGTGGCTGACCCGACCGACTGAGAGGGAGTGGGGGGTTCCACAATTTATGCGTTTGTTTGTTGACTTAATATGGGAGGGGGGGGGTTCTTTTGAAGGAAAAAAAATGAGATGACTCATTTCTCAAATACAGCACTACTTAAACCCCCCCCCCCGTCAATTCGATGTCGCACTTCACATTTTCTTATCGAACATGTGTTCTTTTTTTTCCCTGTCTTTTCATCATTTTATTCTTCTTCATTCATTCAATAATTCTTTCAGAAAATGCCAAATTGCCCAAATTGCAGTAAACCAGTCTATTTCGGTGAGTTTTTCAACGTGTCTTTTTTCTTTCTGAAAACATTTCTTTAAATAAACCAACGAAAATATATGTGATCTTGAAGAAATGCCAATTTTTTGGGAAATTCGAATGACGACTAAATCGTTTTTGATGTTTTCGCGAATTTCAAAAATCGCGCAGATTTTTTAAAGCGCGAATTTTTTCAGAATTTTTTTTTCCAAGTTTCGACAGCTGGATGAAAATTAATTCTCTCGAAACCGATAGCCTAAATCAAAATGCATCTGCGGACATTTTCATTATTTTATTTCCATGGGGAAAAAAATGCAATTCGAAAATCAAATCAATGATTCCCTTCCAACTCGAGAATTTCAGCCGAACGCGTTTCATCGCTCGGAAAGGATTGGCACCGCCCGTGTCTTAAATGCTATAACAAAACCTGCGGCAAAACATTATCCGCCGGGAGTCATTCCGAGGTACTGTATGCTCCTTTAAACATTTGAAAACGATCGTACCACATTTCAGCACGAGGGAAAACCATACTGTAACCGTTGCTACGGGGCGCTGTTCGGTCCGAAAGGATATGGACATGGAGGTACTGAGTCACACACATTCCTTCGCGGAACCACTGGATAATCTCGAAATAATCATGCCCCAAAAAATGCTTAAATCAATAAATAAATGAATGTATATAATTGATATTCATTTATCACGGGTACACAATAAAACAATCAATTCGAGCACATGGCGATGACTATCAATGCTCAACCCATGCATTGAATAGATGAAAAAAAAAACAATTTAGAGAATGAAAATATTAGAAGAAGTTTAATTACAACGTGACTAGAAGAACTCGGCAAATTTTTGAACTGAATATTATAAAACATAGTTGGTTGATAATTAGAGAATTTTTTGAGGGATGGCCTTCATATTTACATTATGAGCTTATATGGAAGATATGAAGAGCAAATGAGTAGGATTTAATAAATATTTGGATCGTCGTACCAATGACGTCGCTGTTCGCTTAATCCAGGAGTGTAGCTATAGCGATTCAGCGTTGTCGTCGGGTCTCGAGAAGACGAGCCTAAAATATTGATTTCATTCGAATTATATTCAATTATAATTCTTTTCTCTGTTGCCATTTTAATGAGAAATTTTGGCTTGAAAAAAAAAGACGAAAACCGAAAATTGAAATTACTCAAAAAAAAAAATGAAATTGACCTGGGTACTTCCTATATTGTGCAACATACGGCTCCCGTGATGAACTTGTTGGATTTGAGGATGTATATCTAAAAGAAAAGCTTCTTCAATATGCATTTCGCTTATGAGCTCACCTTGAAGATCCTGCGCCATAATAATCGGAATGCGATGGGGTGTCGTTTTTTCGGAACAACGATTTGATTCGATCAATAGGCGAACTTGGACGCTTAAAATCTCTGCTTTCCTCATAGCTATAATTATAGTAATTAGGGCAATTCATTGATAATTATTTTTTTATTACCCATTGGTTATCAATTTGCCATCAGCTCCCATACGAACCTCGCTGGTTTTTCGGCGATTGAAAGAAAGCAGCGAACGCTTCTTCTTTTGACCTGAAATTAGTGAGAATGAATTGATTTTCAATTTATTTTTCAATAAAAAAATATCTTACTCGAGTCAATAGCAGAAGCTTGAGAATCCGCAATTCCTCGACCATGCGGTCCAACAGAAGCCACCTAAAATATTATCGATTGAATGAAAATTCAGAACGGAAATTTCGAAGAACCAAAATTGTGAGACCCAAAAAAGAAAACGCGAATTAATTGTGAAAGAAAATGAGTTGGCAGAAAACACTCAAAAAAAAACTTATTCTGTGAGCAACTAAACAATAATAATTATTATTATTATTCTCTATATATCTCGGTTTATATACATACCCTGGATCTTCCTCCATAATAAGCAGTCTATTATAAAAATTATCACGTTTAATGAGGAAACACCATGAAAAAATAAAAACAACGAAATGAAATGCCCTAAAGAAACACCCATGCTCGAATACACACCTGTCTTTGCGGTGAGACGCTCTTCTCCAATGACAAATGGCGTCGAAGGCGCTCGAATACCTGTAGAGCAAATTGACATGCGAGGGATTGTGTGATAGAAATTGATGGTCATGCGAGAAGTGGTTCCTGCGCACAAATCAAACCCCCCCCCGCCGCCCTCTCAATTGGAATAAAAAATAAGTACTAACCGATCTCACTCCGCTCGGCTCATATGACGACGATTCGCCGGCTGTCGAGCCGCGTGGTTCCGTCTCGGCGCTCTGAAATAGTTAGAGCAAAGGGGTTTGAAGCCTAGCAGGGTCGCGGGATCAGAGCGGGTCATTCCTCATCGGTTAAACAACTCGTTCTCCAATTTACCTGCTTATTCTTCAGAATACTCCTCGGACGGCCATCTTTGTCGAAATTGGCGTTGGTTCGGCCCGATGATGAGTCATGATAATTCACATACGAATAATCGTTGCCACCAACTTCCGGTGTGGTGAGACGATTGGTGAGTCCCGATTGATAGTCATAGTCAACCTTGTTGCGATCCATCGATCGACTACGATGGTAAGCACGCTTGTCGGCCTCCGTCATTGCGCTGGCGACTCGGCGAGCAGTTGGGCGGAATCTGCAAATTTTGCCAAATTTCGGAAAAGTTCGTAACGAATGTATATTTGTATTCTGTTTTCGGCTAAAACTTTTGAAAAACCGCCAAACTTTGAGTTTATAGTGAATAGTTCAAATTCAAGCCAATTTAAGACAAAATGTGCACAAAATGCAAAATTTCTACTGGAAATCGAAAATTCACATTTTTTACATGGTTAGCTTCGAATGATTGGAGGAAAATCCCAAATCAGACTAGTTCATGACAACTTTAGAAATTGGAATCTCATTTGTTTTAATAATCATTTCCATTCCAAATAATGTATACAATCAAATTTGTCTTGAACAAGAACACTTTGCTTAATGTTCGCAACCTTCCATTTTACACTGCCAGCCAAAAAAATCCGGTTTTGCTTCAATGATAAGCTTTATATGAGGGTAATTCAAAAATTTTGGCCAACAGTTCTTTGATTCGAATAAATCAAAACGAACGAACCTATTATTAATGCTTGATGCTTGATTATCAGCCAACGCGGTTGTAATAGAATAATGATCATTACTCGGCGTTGCTGAAAAAAAAATCTCAATTTCTACCACCACTCGACTACCGTAACCCACTTGATCTACCATCGTAACGACTTGCACCGTAGTAATTCGAGTCGTCGGGCCTTCTCAAACCAGTAACGGGTCGGTCACTAGCCGTTGAATAATATGTTGACGGACGGTATGAGCTCGTAGTGTTGCTGTAACAATGCAATAGCTGAACGAGGCTTTTCGCGGCGGGACCCACGATGAAGGATGATATGTGTTGCGCTCGGCGTCGCGTTCGGCGCGAGTTTTGTACACCTCGAATTTCCTATCATGCGCCCAAGAGTTGAGAGCAGAAGACGGCTGCAACAATTATTCTTCTCGAATTGGTTAAAAAAATAAATATATTAATTCTATAATATTCAGACAAAATATCACGATATTGATTCACAATACGATATCTCAACTTGCCGTTAATGATCATAATTTGGTTGAAGGAAGATTACGGAAAAGCTGGATATCAAATGGTCATTTTCGGCGCGAAATCAAAACAAAACGCACCTCTTCAAATTTCCTAGCGTAACTCGGACTGGCATTCGAAGACGTTATATAGCTTCGATCATACGAGGGTCTGAAAATTGGAGCCAATTAATTATACCAATTATCAACATATAATTCGTATAATTGACCTGAGTCTGAAGCTCACCGAGCGCATCAAGACCACCGCCGAACGCTCTTTTTTTGGCGTTAATGTTTTGAGCTCTTTTGTGTGTGTGTGTGCGACAAAACGTGCTTGTAAACACTAATCGGATTAGAGTATCCGGTCGGCGGTTCATCAAACACGCCAAATTTATGCACCCGCTCTCCGAAACACCGGAAATATTCGGTGGCGCTTATTTCGGGGCTTCGCAATGCTTCAGATTGTGGCCATCAGAAAAAAAAAATACAAAAACGAACCTCGTCGACTCATATTGATCATGCGATTGCGATTTTCGTTCATCGCGGGAGACGGCTGCCGACTGAAAAAAAATCGAAAATTGAAGATTAGAGCGATTTGACCTCAATTATGCTAAACCTCGATATTTTGAGAAATCAATACAGTTCTCAATTCTCAAAAACGACAAATTAAATTCTCCGCTAGAAGACCCCCCAAACCAAAAAAAATCAAAGGGGTACTGTAACGAACACAATATTTACACAACACCGCGACCAATATAAACATACCCAATCGGAATTGTAAATCAGCATCTTCTTCTTCTTCTTCAGCTTCTTCCGCCTCCCTTCTCACCAAAAAATGAATGTCTCGCACACCCGCGAACGAAACAATGCCGAAGCGAGGGAATGACGAGGGAGAAGAAGAATGAGAAGAAGAAGACGAAGGCGGCCGTTTAGCCAATCGTTGTGTGCGTGTGTGTGTGTGTTCAGTTCGGGTTCAAACCCGATTAGGCAGTGTAAAAAACACGGAGAATTAGTTATTGAAGTGAAACTGCCAAAACGAACCAAGAAGGAAAAAAAAGACAAATTATATAGCGGTGTATTCAAATGATGATAGTTATAAATTGTTTCTAATACGTGTATAAATGGGCCGACTTACATATCTCGAAGTTGGCGACAGTGGACGATAGTCGTCTCGCGGCGTACGGTAGCTGTCGTCGTGGTATCTTGGGCGAACGTAGCCGAGTACCGATGATGGTCCGCTAGTGTTCGTTGAATGATGGGAGTAGAATGGATCAGAAGAAGCCGGCGAAAACGCGCGATCTTGAAAAATAAAACGATCAGTTCAGCGAAAATTTTGAAATTTTGAAAAATCTTAAATTAACAAGTTTTTTTTAATTCTAAATTTGATAATTTTTATAATAATAGTAAAATCAAAATGATGACACAAAATCGAACAGTTAAAAAAAAATTTTCTCACCTTCAACCCGCTCAATTGATGGTCGCTCCAATGCTCTGAAAAATGAAAATTTCCCAATAAATTCAGACCCTATTAGTTTATTGAATCGAATCGAAACAAAATCGCAAAATTTGCCTACCTACTGAAATCAATTTTGTTCAATTCCGTTCAATAAACGTCAAAAAATGAAAATGACAATCGGAAATCAACCAAAGTAAAAAAAAAGAAGACAAGACAAGCCATCATCACTAACTAAATTGTGTCTAAAAAAAAATACCTATACGCTTCCTCGGCGGTTCCGATCGTTCGATTCCGGATGCGTCGCTCGCGATTCTTTCGCCGAATGTAAGCCGCCGCCGTTTCCCACGTCTCTTTACCCTCGGATTCTTTTCTGCAAGTCCACGAGAAAGCATTAGAATTCAGCCCAACAGAAGCCAAAATGAAACCAAAATTGAGAAATGTGCAAAAAAAGAAAAATTAAACGGCGAGCACAAAAACAACACCCCAAAAAAAAGAAACCAATTCGATAGAATTACCCATGGCACTAGGCAGATTTTCGAGATTTAAAAAAGAATCCTCAAATAATTTGCTAATCTTGTTATTTTCAGCAATCTGCATAGTACCACAAGCAATTTGAAAGAAAAAACTGACGCATTGATCCGCTTGTAAAGGTCCGAAGCCATATAGGCCGATGGACGGAACAACAAGTTGGTTTGAGAGCTTCTGAATCGTCAGACGTCAACGATTTCAAGAAAACAAATTAAAGGGATCGCAGAATTCAAGAAAAAGTTAAGGAAAATTGGAAAATTAACAACAAATTCTGGAAATTTCTCTTAAAAAATTGCAATCCCTCATATAACTTTGAATCATCAATTTTTATAGCAACATATCGACTCACTTGGGTTCCTCCGAATGCATCGGCTCCGATTTGAGCTGATCTTTGAGTTGCTCCTCACTTTGCGGCGGCTTGATTTTCAGCTCGGCGACTGTCACCAAATATTTCGCCGATGTTTCAGCAACCGGAGCGACTTTCTCTTAAATTATGTCAGTTAGTTGCGATACTCATTTAAGCCATTCTCCTAGTTAGTCTACAACGAACCCAACCCAACTGAATCGGTTAGAAACAATACCTGGCGTGTTTTGGATAACGGTACTCGTCTGTTTCACTTGATACTCTTTTCCTTTGGCTGACGGAGCCATCATGTTGGCAGGAATCGGCAAAATCGCTAAAATTTCTCCTGGTTAGTATATAAGCATTAGGTGCACTACAGTTGGTTATCGACCACAATTTTCAAATTATCCACATAGTTCTTGCAAAAACACAAATTTTTTGAATGGTTCATTTGGCATTAACATCTCTAGATTACCTCCATCATCCCTTTTCACCGAAGCAATCACAACTCCACCGCGCGGCTTCGGTTTGAACGTCTCGAAGTCGGAACCCTCCTCCGATGATTCGCACTCTTCCTCATCTTCGTCATCCTCCTCCTCCTCATCGTCAAGCTCTTCGCCATCCGATTTAACAATCACCGGTGGTGGACTTCGTGGAGGAACGCTTCCGACGTACCTGCAAAAAAAAAAACAAAAAAATAGATGCCTGCTGCTGGAATCGAACCAGCGTCGCCACGGCCACAACGTGGAGTACTAACCACTATACTAAGCAGGCCGAAAGCGACGGTGCCGAGTGGTGGTTAAGAATAGCGCCCCCCCCCCCTCGGGAGAGTGGATGGCAGAGAGACGGAGAGACGCAACTAGTGAGAGAAGGTATACTAGTCAATGATCTCGGTCAACAATTTCGAAAATTTTCCTAGTAATTTTTTTCGAGAAAAATTGGACTGCATTCAATTTTGATTCCAAAAACATTACATTTTTGGATATAACAATGGCGAAATTTTGGAACAAAACTTCATTTATTTTTACCCATTCGAAATTTGTTGAAGACACTTACGAGTTTCGCGGCTTCTCGCCTTCCTTCGGCTGCTTCAGAAGATCGGCTTTCACCTTCTCCATTCGAAGTTTGCGGCGAAGTTCCATATCAATTTGGCGAGTGTCGAGCTTCTTCGGGTACATTTGAAGCATTTCTTTGGCCTGAATTATAATGGCCATTTGAGAAATTGAGAAAAATATAAAACAATAAAATTGAGCTTAAAGGAGCAAGGAATTGAAACAAATGACACGCACACACAAATTTTTGGCAATGCTCCTTTAAACATCTTGTAAGTATTTGAAATAGGTTTGATTAGAGAAAAAATAGAGAAACATCGGACGTTTTCATGCGGCGAACACCGAAATTACTTTGTCGAAAAGAAATGGCGATTGTTCGGCGGTCGGTTGGGGTCCTCCGAAGAATTTTTTGGATTCGACCGGCGATTCGCATTCCGTCGACACACCACGCCCATAATTGTTGATAAGAATGTGCTGAAAATGAGCAAAAAGGAGGGAATGAAGAGAAAAGTAAACTATATATATATATATAGAAAGAAAGATAAAAGTGTGGGAAAATATAATGAAAAGAAAAAAGAAGTGAAGGGTGTATAGTCTTTTTCTGAAAAAAAAAAAACAATCGGCTATAAGAATCAATCGCTTCGAGACTCTGCACCAAATCCAGAAAGTGCCTTTAAATACCGTATCCACAAAAAATATTTTCCACAATTCTTCACATTGTCTTAAAAACCTCAAATTTTGGGTTTTTGTCTAAAATTTTCCATACTTTTAAATTTCAAATTCGAAAATTAGGAGTAGAAGCTGAAAAAAAAAACTAAAAAATAAAATAATTGTTTAAAGGCACATAATACGTAAAATGAGGTGGGTCACACAGCGAATGATTCGAATAGCCATTTTTTATTTCAGAAACAGACAATACTACTATGATACTGTGAAACATGCCAAAAAAAACCTCTGCAACTCCAAGAAGAAAAAAAAATATTATAATAATGATGAAAAATTCTGTTACCTGATATTTTCCTTTACTTTGCCGTTTAATAAGCCCTCTATCGAACGCATCAAGGAATTGTGGAGACGAGGCCGGATCGGGCGGCGGATTCGTTTCGAGATTCTCCGACGCCGGCTTCGACGGCGTCGGCGGCTCTTCCGGCGCCTTCTTCTCAACCTCATCCGCCAATTCCTCCATTTCGCTATCCGTGTATTCATCGCCATCCTCGTCCGATTCCTCCTCATCATTCGTTGATTCCTTCTCAACAATCTGCAAAATGTTCGTCATTATTAAATTCCAAACAAACAGCTTGTCAGAATCGACCAATTTCGGCGTTTTCGGCGTCTCGGGAATCGGCGTCTTCTGATGAATCTGCTCGGCGTCACTGTCATCCTCAAACGATGTATCCTGCACAGTAACCTCCGTGGCATTACTCGCCACCGATTGTTGCATGACATTCTCATTCTCATTCTCATCATCATCCGGATCGAATCCAACCTATAATAAATAAAAAATAATAAAGAACGTTGAAAAAAAAAAGAGAAAATGCTAGAGGAATTCGATAAATGGTGTGAAACAAGCCTATATTAGTATTCATTGTTACCTCAACCGAATGCCACGGCCTCTCTTTCATTTTCCGTTCCGATTTCGGCGGCGACGGCACCGCCGGCACTTCCTCGTCGGGCTTCTTCTTTCGCGTCAGCGTATTCTGACGTGAGAATGTCTGAAATCGGTGTTAGAATGCGATGCCAAGTTTTAACTATTTAGTTTTATGGGAAATCGTTGTGAATGAAGAAGACATTCAATTGTGCTGTTTCGTTCAGTAATCTACCTGACTCTGTTGTTCGATAACCTTGCTCGCTTGCTTCTTCACGGGCTCCGGCTGGGCCGCAATTATGCTTTCAAGCAATTCCTGTAATATTCCAATTTTACAGTTTAATGCATCACGAATGAATCGTCAAATTTTCTCGTCGTACTAAAATTTCGACAATATTGTTTTTAGTTGATTTTTGGAAGTAAAAATTCTTACAAAAACCAATTGATTCATTTTTTGTGAGTTTTTTTTCATATCGAAATCGGTCTCTTAGCTTTTCATTCGAAAAATCAAATTTAGTTCAAAAATTTTTGGATAGTTTTAACAAAATTTAATTTAATTTCAATTTCCATTCCATAAAAATACACAAATTTCAGAAAGAATAATTAGAATGCAAAATTCTTGGAATTTCTGGCGGCGAAAAACGATGACAAATTTCTCCACAATTCGCACCTTGACCATTGGTCTCGTATCATACAACGGATGCGCTTTTATCCTCGCGATGATATTCAAATTGACTGGTCCCTTCTCCATTTGCTCCAATACTAGATTCATGAGCATATTCAGCGAATCCGTCTCAATGCGATAAGCACTAGCCGTGAGTTGGGCGCGATTTCGAGCCCTCTGCGCTTCGGTTGGCTCCGGAGTTCGCTCTTTAACCGGCACAAATGACGGCGCTCTTGAATCCGATGGTTTCGCCGATCTGAAGAAAAATAAATCTCCCAAATAAAAACATTTCAATTATATACTATGCAAGTTATAATTAGCAATATGGCCCGGCTCAGTGCTCATTTTCCTGGTAGCCGTTCGCTTATTAATGCGTCGATTTTCAGATTAGCATAATCCTTTCAGATTTTCAATGCTTTAAATCGCTATCTTTTCGTTTTTTTTGTACGATTTTACGAATAAATTAACATTTAAACAGCGAGAAAAAAAAACACCTGGCCGGCTCACATGGGAAAATCAAATTTTGCCATACTAACAATATGATTGACTAATAATGCATATATGTCAGCAATTATTAATTTTTCGGTTTCTCCTCAAATATATGTTGACACTTTAATAACAATAACTCGATATTTATTCATTTTTCTCAAATGACAATAATTTCAGGGAAAAAACTAGCTACTTCTGGGCATATTTTGAAATAATCAGGGATTGAGCAAGTCCGCCAAGTTCAAGCGGCATAATTGCACAACATCTTACTTTTCATTTTTTTCAAATTGTGCAATCACGCAACATGTGTTCTACGGACTTGCATTTTGATCGACGTCTATACTATGATTTCAAGTCTACTAGTACTCCTATTTTTTTCATTTTAAAATATATTTTCACCATTTTTCTTTTCGATATTTGAGTTTCAAAGTTCAAAACACCACTTAATATGCCTATTTGCACAATTGATTTTATTCGCGAGCAAATTCCCTAGAAACTTGTCGGCTTATTCCAATGATCAAACTCAATTTTTTAAAACACTATTTTAATAACAATTGTTGTCGATGCCCAGTGTCTGATGCATCGGGCTAGATGAAAGTGGTCTCGCGCGGATTAACTGGTGATTTCGTAAGTGGCTGATTTCGGTCACTTTTAATTTTTTAAACTTTAAAATGCAAAAAATTCAAATTGACCAAAGAAAAATTACGTGAAAATACCAAAATAAGAATTCACTTGTGCACGATCATGGCGAGACCATGACGAAAGGAGCCCCCCGTAAATCAACACCGACAATATATTATTGATTATTTCTCGCAAATTGAATAATTAAAACAATAAAATTCCTAATCTTTAATGTTTCAAAGTATTCTGTGTAGATCAAAACGAATTCCATTAATCCGTTGGATTTTGCGTTGGTTTCAAAATGTTGTTTCACACAAATTGGTCATCGATTGTAAAATGAGACTATAGGAGATAATCTACTTATTTAACTGCATGTCTGCAGACTTTTGAGGTTACCCGAATTCAAATGGCAATTTGTGGCCTTTATTAAAAAAATTATTATTTAAAAATTTAAAAAAAAACGGAAAATGAGAAATGAGGACTCGAAATTGTCAATTTTTGGCAAAAATTGCTAAATTTATTTTTGAATAAAAAATATTTTTTGAAATTTATTTTGCGATTATTTCTTTTTATTGTCTATAGTTTTATTCAATGGTTCGATGTAAAATCGAAAGAACATTTTTTCAGTTTTTTTTCTCCCGCATTAGCAGCTGCAAGCAAATTTTCGTGTTTTCATGTTTTTTTTTCTCAGCTTCAATTATGGGCATGAATAATGGCATAGCTTGATTTCGAAATACTACATTCGTGCGCCAAATACATTCGATGACTAATCATTTGGATTACGGTAGCACCAATGATCATGAAATTAATTTTGATCAATGGAAATATGTTTCCATTGTTTTGTTTTCTGTCTTGAATGAACATTCTTGTTGGCAGGGCAATATTTAAAAACGTTCCAATTGAAAAAAAGACTCACTCGCGAGCGGTTTTCGGATCCTCGGGTTGCTCCGGCGACTTCTGCTTCTTTTTCTCAGCTTCTTTTGCAGCTATCGCAGCTTCCTCCTTCTTGTGCTCTTCCTAAACAAAATAAATTCCTTTACGAATCATTCCGCTCTTTTTTCAAATTCTAGAGAACACTATTGGTCGCCTCGACGGGTCGTGGGCGAACTTCTATTTTTTTTTGTGACCGGATTATCGGATTTGGAACTCGCTGACCTCGAACAAACTCATCACTCGAAACAATTCCCGGTAAAAAAGGTTATTTTGTTACCGAAATCGACGTAATTCAGACCATGCGTGTATTTCTTATATTTCTCGCCATTTTCGCGTACTGCACACAATTCGCTGGAGCCCAGGTAAGATCCAGATAGAAACCAGAATGTCCACAGATAAATGTATTGATAAATTGGCCGCAAAATAGCTCTGCGGACATTTCGCAATTTGAGAATTACTAAATTTTTGCAGGCAACTTGCGCCGAAAAATGCGCAGATCGCTATTTGGAAACGGTACGCCTTCATCCAGACTACACATCGGCTCAATATAAAACCGAATCATTAAAATGCGTTCAAGATTGTCACGATGGAAAGATTTAACCCCCAACACCCGCAGAAATTTTTAATTTTTTTTGTCGATTAATTCAATTTCGCTTCAAAACACTATTTTGTATATAACAGAATTGGCTATGAACCGATTTCACCTCTCTTTCTCTTTTGCTTTGTCCCAATCGATTCTCGATTTGGCGGAGGCGTTCGAGCGGATCATTGGCGTCCACCTGAAACGAATCGCGTAATTCGAGCCACAAACCCGCCGACCACTTACTTTTGGCGGCTTTTCGTCTTTGACGGCTCGCAGCGATTTGTCGGCGGCTCGCATTTCGGGCTGCTCTTTGGCCTCGTCGGTTTTGCGCGATTTCGGCGGCTTCACCGGCGAGTTGTCGTTGAACTCCTCGGCTTCTTTGCGACGTCGTCGGAACTCCTCGATTTTGCGACGCGTCTCCGCCGACAAATGGCCGAATTCCATGAAGACGTCTTGCTCGTCGGCGAGATCCTGCACAATCATCGTCTCTTTGCGTTCGGTGAGCGGCGTGTGATCGATGATTTGATTCTCGGGAAGCTCCTGAATGACGGGCATGTTCTCCTCGAGATTCAGCCACCAATGCGAGGCGATATCGAAAATTGTGGCACGTCTTTCCGGATTCACACGAAGCATATTTCGAATCAACATCGAAGCCGCTGAAAATCGAGTGACATTTGACGCTTCGCATTAAACAGCCTTACTTGAAGGGGTCTCCGGCTCATAATAAGCCCCTCGTTTGATCTGCCGCACCATTCTATTGAAATCTCTTCCGTCAAATGGCATACTACCATATACCAATGTGTACAACAGGATTCCAAGGGACCAACAATCAACTTCAGGACCCTTGTAGGGAGTTCCGTTGATGATTTCGGGTGAAGCGTATAAAGGACTTCCACAAAATGTTGTCAGGAGATTCTAAACGAATGATAATGAGAAATGATATTGGAAACGTTCAAAACCTTATCGGAAAAATAATTGGACAATCCGAAATCGGCGATTTTCGCATTGTTATTTTGATCGAGAAGAATATTTTCCAATTTTAAATCGCGATGAGCAACTTTGTGCTGAAAATAGAAAATATTTGCAAGCGGTGTAAAATAAAAACCTTATGGCAGTATAGTACAGCAGAAGTTATTTGACGAAAAATTCGGCGAGCCTCGCATTCTGGAAGAGAACCGCATCTGAAAATTATAAATTTAAAATATTGGATTAAAATAGTTAATGAGAATTTAAAAAAAGCAAGAAAATTTCAAAAAATTTCAAAAAAGGAAAATTGTGCTATACGCAAACACGTTGACGTAATTCTGCAGACATTTATTTTCCGTTTTTAAAAATAAAACCAATTGTGTTCATGTCTTCCAAGACAAAACTTTACTTCATTCAAAAACGTGTGTTTGTTGGAAAACGGATCCCATCAATTTTATTTCACCCATTTTTGCTGGAACGACATTCACCTCGAAACATAGTCGTAAAGTTCGCCTCCACTCGAATATTCCATTACCAAAATGATTTTGTCCTTGTTTTCAAACACTAAAAACGAATAAAAAAAACAATGTCAGCACATTGAAAAATATGCGAAAAAAAACCTTCATAAATCTGAATGATATTTGGATGGTTCAATGCGCTCATAATTCGAATTTCGCGCCGAATTCGAACCAAATCCGCTTTATTCTCGATGGCGCTTTTCTTGATCAATTTAACAGCCACCTGAAATGTTGAAATGCAAAATTTGGATAGCGTTTTTTTTTCTTCTCTCGAACCTCTCGATCAAATTTATGATCATATGCCAGCGATACTTTACCATATGTGCCCGATCCGAGCTTCTTGGTGATTTCAAATCGATGTTTCGACTCTTTCTTCGTCGGACTGCCCGGCTCAGCGCCGACCATCGGATGGCCACCTGAAACCAGAAAATCTAACTGCCTAGAAGCCTAATAAAATTTAATTCAAAATGTCCGCAGATGATTGTTTATAACAATTCGCTTTCAATTTACCATTGACTCCACAATAGGGTTCGCTGCGAATATTCTCGCGATCACTATTATTATTATTATGATTATTGTTGTTATCGGAATCAATGATCGGCTCCTGATGATGAATGGCTCGTCGCATACATTTCACAAAATAACCCGTGTTGCACAATAATGAGGAGAACGGCATTTCTCATCACTACTGTAATATTAGTGAAGTGAATTCGAACAAAATTGAAATAAGCGAAGGGATTGAATTGAATCGAACGAACGCAAACAAGAAGAAGAAGAAGAAAAAAAAATAAAAGTTTATAATATTTCTCGAACATATGTTTTTCAATGGCGACCTTTTTTTTGGTCTCGAACAAACTCCTCCAGATGACCTTCTAATCCAAGCAATTCGTCTCGTCGCCGTCTATTTTTGGAGACGAGTGTACAAAAGTCAAAAAGAGTGCCATCAAAACAAAATTTCCAATTTTTTGGCTCAAATTTGTATGCTTATGGGAATTTGCTCAAGAATACCATAACGAACTTGTTTTGCTATGGGAGTTGGTGAGCAAAATAAATATTTTTTATTCGAGATTTCTTCATCGAGCGCGCTTCATTGCGCTATGCTCCTTTAAATGAATTGACAATTTTTTTTGCAAATAACAATTTTTTAAAAAGTGGGGCAAAATTGTCCGCAGATCGAACAAAATATGAATGGTGACATCACTCATAATCGCTTTCAAGAATGCGGTTTGAAAGGAGCACAAAAAATTTTTTTTTGGTAGGACCATAATTACTCACAGCGAAATATGAGCCGCGCGAAATTCTTTTTTGGTATGAATGAGCCGAGACTGGAACGCGAAATTATTAATTGGATTTGTCCCCTTTAAAGGGCAAAAAGAGAACAATGGTGGGTGGGTGGATGGTGGGTGAAGGAATGTGATAAAATTTGGTGGCGCTCAGCCTAACGGGAGACGAGCTCATAAACTTTTTTTTTTGACATTTGCCTCCTCCTCATCCTCCTCCTCGTCGTCTTCGATTTTTTTTTTGGGTTTGGTTTTCGCATTTTGACGCCTTGTTGGCGAGACCGCCCCAAATTTTTTGGCGACAATAAAACGGGCATTTCGGATGGTGTGTGTGGCGCGAAAATTGGGTGAAACGCGCGCCTCTTGGGGATTTTTCGCGGCGGAATTTCCGCGTTTCTCGGCGCCTGAACATTTATGCGAACAATTTGACAACTTTAATGTGCTTTTTGTGAAACACTAGCCAGCAAAAAAAAAACAAAACACAATGAACCGAAACCTCATTACTAGGAAGATGAACGAGAAGAAGCTTAAGCTTACAAGTGCAATTTACTCGACGAACCTTTTTGGTGGGGAACAATTCAACAAAAAAAAAAACAACCTGAGCCTGGTGGCACAAAAATATTGAAAAAAGAGAATAAATTATTCAGTTTGTTTTTTTTTTCACCTTTATGACGAGAACAAAAAATAATAACAGACATTGACGAACCTGGTCCGTAGCTATTTCCAACTCCGCCATTTGAGCCACCATATGGCCGAATGTTGCTTTGACTGATTCGAGCGAGACGACCCGAACGGGAGCCTCCCACTGGCATTCTGCCTGAAATCGTTCAACAATTTGATCATGGAGTCGATTAAACACGTTGATTCGTAAAAAGAAAGTAAAATGTTATCTGCGGACATCATTTTGAAAACTCGAAATGTCCGCAGATGTCAACTAATAGAAGGAGATGAGAAAGAACGCAATATTCCTTCAGAGAACAAATGCAGCATTATTATCAACTGTTTCGGAAAATTGGCTAAATGCCAAGAAAAGCAATTGCAGTGGTCTTAGCGCGAAACTATAAGTGTTGATATACGGCATAAGCATAGTGGTAGGTTAAAGGTACATACCAGGGCTGTGCGGCAATCGGAAATTTCGGCAATTCGGTAATTTGAAAAATCGGCAATTCCATTGCCGCACAGCCATGGTACATACCGCCCCCAAAGACCATTACGTTTGATAATAAATTTGAAAAAATGAGATTTAACCTAAAGATACCATCACGGTTTTCATTTTCTTGTCCTCTGCTGATAAAAATTAAAAAAAAAATAGATTCGTGGTCTCTAGAAATCTAGAAAATACATAGATTCTAGATAGATGATTGTTATTTCAACTAATAAAAATAATTTTGCTTGTTGAAAGCCAAGAAATTAATTGTTGTAATTGTTCGATTTCCTTTTAAGAAGGAATTCAGAAATTTGAGAAATCCTTCTCAAATCAATATACAGTGGAGAAGCTTTCATTACCTTTTGGGCTATAACCAACGGGAATAATAACGGCGAACATTGTCGACAGTCTCGTTGAGAATACCCGCTTGTTTCATACGGTTTTCTCGCAATTCGTAACATTTAATGCGTTTTGTGTTTGTCTCGTCTCCCATACAAAAGCATTTCTCGGCGTCTCCGCCTCTCGCACACTATTTCATTATCGGTAAGAACAGCAAAAAACTCGACGGTTATTGCAAAAATATTTGAAAAGATGAAGAAGAAAAAAAAGGAAGGGACAACCGAAGGGACTGGAATTGATCGTCGTCGACCACAACCAGCGAGCTTGATCAAATCATATATCCAAACGAGCTTGTCGGACGGACGAGCGTGAGCAAACACACAACATGGAAGCAGCAGGAGAAAAAATTGCTGGCATCGAGTACTCTAGGCTTCAAGTGCGAATGATTGGGCGGGTGTATATCTTACTCGAACGATACTACACAAAATCTAATTCTGAAATTACTCGGCCCCGAATTTAAGATTTTAATAAAATCTGGTTTTCTGCCATTAAAAACAATTATTGTCATTTTGACTCAATTTCTTGAACAAACAAAAACATGGAAATCTAGGTGTGGCTTCAAAGAGTAAATCAAATATAAACGTGCATTGAACATTTTTAAGATTTTATTTTTTATTAGCTGCAATGATCCTTTAAGAATATGAATTTTCTAGATTCACTCACATCAGAAGGAATGCGAAATCCGACTAATATGTGAGCTTCGCAAGCTGATTCTTCTCAGAAAATTATAAAATTGAAATTGTACTTTGAATTCGATAGAAATTAGGAATATAATCAAAAATAATTGAGCGAAGCCTTCTCGAGGGACTCATAGGATCTTGAGGATCAAACTAGAATGGATTCTGAATTATTATTAATTTCTTTAATGAGCCATTACGACAATTCATCAAATGAGCAAAAATCAATGATTGAGGCATACAGAAATGAGGATTGCGCGAGACTGCCGAACTCGTCGCGAGGCCAGCCACCCACCAGTTATCCGGCGTCGGTGACCCTTCCAATCACCAACAATCTTTCGATATTTCCTATCGTCGAGGTGTGCTCAATGAGCAGTGTACTGGATGATGAGCTTGATGATGATAGTGCGAGGGCCAACAACAGACAATCGGTGTTTCGAAGACGTCGACGAACACACAACACCAAAATGGTGTTGTTTTTTTCTTTTGGCAAAATCAACATCGTAAAATGTATATGAAGAGAAGAGTTGAGCAAACAGACAGGAAAACAATAAAAAATGACTAATATCGTACAAAATTGAACATCTCGTTTTTGGCGGCACGTTTTTGTGGGAAATTGAGTTCGACCCATTTTTGGACTATTTGGAGCATCTCAGAGGAGCAACAAGGAAGTTTGAAACGAATCAACATTCTAGATGATAAGGACCTCTCTTACACAGCCTACTAAAATGGGCACCTCGAAACTGTGTATGCTCAATTAATGGCCTTCAATTATTTGATTTGAAGCTTGCGTTAATTGAATGGAAAATTGAGATTGAGCAGCAGATGGTGGAACGAATGCACAAAAATACATAAAAGTTTTTCGGAATAGTGTTAAAAACCCGATGCGAAGATATATCTCCGGCGAACCCCCTCGCCGACAAAAGCGCGCACGCGGAGAGTTGGGAGCCAAAGGGTCCTCCCAACCAACACAAGCGATTTTACAATTGATTCGAAGGCTTTTTGCTCGTCTCCGTGTTGTGCTCACTCTTCAATGTGAGACGAGCTCCTTCCCCCCCCCCCACCTCCCCGTCTTCAGGTTTCCAATTGGCCTGCAAACTCAACCGATGCGTTTGCTCAACTGATTAGATATGACATACATACGCCAATGAAAAATGAACCTTGATGAAAAAAATTAGAAGAAGGAAAAAAAAATGAAAAAAATTTGAACTGACAGAAAAATATTGCGGTTGGAATTCGAAAATCATCGACGGCGAATCAGGCGGAAATGTTGTAATCCATCATTCATGATTACGAAATGAAATCCATTTTTATTGGAGCTATCTATCTCCTCGATCAAATGAGCATGTTGAAATGAGCAATCACATACATACATATCAGCTAAACACTTTTCAATCACTTCAAATTTGTCTTGAAAATTTTTGAAACGTTTCCAAGGTTTCCAAAAATTCAAGTACATGAGGGAAATTTCTGAATCAAGTGAAACACGATATTCAAATAAGGGTCTGTCTTCCAGCAAGAATTTTTCAGAATCGATTTAGTCATTTTTAGAGTCAAATCTGGATGATTTAAAAATTCCTACATAAAAGAGTCATAACAATTGGAAATTATCTGCAATTATGAAAGATCGAGCTGAAAATTTATATTCTTATTCAAATTTATCTCATCATAAAATTATGATAGTTGTTGATTTGCGGAACATCATGCGCCTTTAATATGGTCTCAACGCGAATCTGATTTTTGTTTCGAATGAATAATACAATTTTAAAGAATAATGACGATTTTTGAAAATGCCAACAAATTTTGAAGAAACTTCTTTTAAAAATATTTTAAAATCTTATTTTTCAAATTGAAAATGATATGAGAATTTCAGAAATTCAAAGGAGGAACTCTTTCCAAAAATTTCAACCTACGCATTTTTTTTTCTCTCTCTCTCTCTCTCTAATACGTTGTAAACCTCATTTTTTATCCGATTTATGATCCCAGAAATTGTCGGCAGCATCGCTTTCATAATTTCAGTACAATTTTTGTCCTCTTAATTAAATATATACGGGAATTGTTGTCAATTAATAAACAAAACATTATTTTCGAAACATTTAGCCATATTCTTCTTTAATTCTGCCTTTAATTCACTTTTCTTTTAGCTTAAAAAAGCTTAAACAACAAATTGAGCAATTTTATCGACTAGCCTTATGAAATCTCATCTGCGGACATTGTTCGCGTTCAGATGACACATCCAAAAAATAGAACAATTGGCGCGTTTTTACAACGTGACCGGATGGCGAAATCGGTTGGATGAATCACGGACCACTCAAAACCGAAAAAAAAATGCGAAGGGGGGGGTGAGAAATTTGAGAGAAAGCTTAATGGGGCCCATTATACTTCACTAAAACCGTATGATTAACAACTCAAAATTCGAATGGTCCGTTTATTGAACGGATCCGATTGAGGCCTGCCGGGACTCGTCAGCACAGCGGCCGCCGAGCATCGAACAACGCAGGTGACTCGCGCGAAACATCGCACTGATCCGAGAGACGCAGACAATTAAGGTCGAGGACTACACTTTAAGTTTCGCTATACTACATCGTGATATTCGGCAGGATTGAACGATGACGGGGGCAAAAAAAAGATGTCGAGCCGACGGAAATAGGCGGAGGAAAAAAAACTGGACGAATTAGCAGCGATGATTATTTGCATTGATTTCTGGTGGCCAGACGGCTCGCAAGAAAAAAAGAAAGAAGCAACGAACCTGGGTCAATTGTGACGCTGAATCGTTTCACTGATGGTGTCGTTTTGATTTCGCTGCTCGACACCTGCAATCTTAAAAATAGCCAACGTTTTATTTTGGGACCAACCTGCCATTTGATGCGAATCTCGCTGCCACTCAATCTTGCCTCATTGCAAGATTTTCCGTCGAGTGATCTGAAATCTCATTTTTTTGTTTCGCTGAAAAACAATATAGACTCAATGATGTGGATTTCTGATATTTCAGAAAGTAGGGACCAATTTGGTGCTAATTATCTTAATCAATCAAGCGATTACATATAATTAGTGCAGAAGAATCAAAATTTAAAAAAAAAAATCTAGAATAATGAATTAATTGATCAATTCTTCCAATCCGATTTGTAAAAACCTCCTTCAGATGCTTCTGATAGGCATCGATAAGAGTCTAATTTGCCTAATTCCCATTGATGGGGACGCTTTCGAATCGAATCGTCTGCGATTTCTCTTTAAACAAATGCGTTTTCATGAAACCGATTAAAGGATCATAAAAGAAAAGAGAAAAACACAAAATGGTACAAAAATTGCGATATCAAATCCAGCTAATCATAGTGCATTAATTGTACCTTTGATTTTCAGCTTCATTCTGCGCCACTGTTGAATCTTTGATAACTGATCCGCTTTTTCCATACCTACGAAACGGCATTGCTAGAATTGAAACCAAAATTGGAAATACCGTTTCATTAAGGTGTCAATTGTCGGAGAGGTGTTTCGCGACTTTCGGTTCAATAATTCTTGAGCTCGAGAATCTGTAATTTGGTTGCTTGATCATCATTCATTTTTTTAATCTCTAGATCAGACTTTGTCGCGATACCCTCGAAGTTGACACATTTTCGCGGCTCTTGTTCAGATATTTGTGCATGAGCTCATCAATTTGCTCATCGCGTTCGCTTCTTGGAGGTGGCACCACTGAAAACGATGATTCATTTAATTAGTATAACTATAAATAATGATTGTATACTATATGTATTTGTCCTTCGCTCACTTATCCGATTCCTCAATCGATCGGCCCGAGTGCGCTGCTTCGGATCCGCCGGCGGTTTCGACGTCGTGTGAATGTGCGGAACCGCGTATTCGTGTTGTTGCGGCGGTGGCGGCGTCGCCGAGGTGGCCACCATTCGGAGGCGATCGCATTGCGCTTTGACTTCTGGCCGAATCCAGCCGACCGACGTGGAGAGAAGCGCTGGCGAGGTGATCGCACGGCCATACGTTCCGTACCGCCGTTTTGTCGAGGAGGACATCCCTATATAAGGTCAGATGCAGATCTTTAGAGAAAAATGTTCGAAGAGCGAAAGCCCAATAAAACTGGTAGAAGAGATCAGCTCATTGAGCTAAATATTTGTTAATGATCCAATGTGTCAGAAACCGATAGGCAACAAATATCAGCAAACTATTTTGGGATCTCGGAGAGGTCTCGAAAAGAACAAATTTTGAAATTTTTGTCAGCTGAATAATATTGAATTTGAAACTAAAAATTTGGACTACTTGGATGAAACAAAATGAACGGAGCCACACACACACAATAGAGTCTGAGAGAGAGACATCTGGTGGAGAAATTCCGAAGGCCAATTTTTATTGGACGAAATGCAGGTGTTGAAAACGTTCTCAAATTCTCATCGAGTGTTTTTTTTATTATAATTATTTGTCGACAAAATATGTATCGAAAATTGAAAGCGAAAAAAAATTTTTTTTTGAGCACCCCGCCCAGAGGTTGGGCGACATGTTGTAAGGTGCGCGAGGCGGTGAACGATTTTTGAGAGCTTGAGCAAACTTTTGAACCGGCATCCATCGAGATTCGGAGAGAGAGAGAGTGAGAGAGAGAGTGTGGAATATCTTCGAGTTGGCCGCCGAATCGCGTTCCTGTCATTAATTCCAATCAAATCAAGCATTTTCAAGACAACTCTCGAAAATATCATCACGCAATTTCATTTGAAGTATTCAAGTGTCGATTAAAATCTGCAGAATTGATTCGACGTGTTTGCACAATTTCTATCGAACAAACCAAATGTTGTGCAATCACACCGCATGTGCTCTGCGGACTTTTATTTCCAATAGCCATAACTCAATGACTTTTATTTTTTTCCTCTTTTGTAGAAAATTAATTGCATTTAAAATGTCATTCAAAAATTTAGAGAGGTTATCCAGAGAGAGGCTACCCGATTTCCCACAGATTAAATTCGAATTTGAATTACCGCCTCGAAAAAGTGCGATGGTCCACAATTATGCAAGGCGTTCGTATTATAAAAATTGATAATTATTGGGTGGGTTCCAACATTTTTGAGTACACTCGAGATTTTTAGTTTTATAATTGTGCTAATCCATTGAAATGACCGTGTGCATGTATTTATTATTACAAAAAAGTTTAAACATTTTTTTAAATGTGCCTTTTCCATTTTTTGCATTTAAAATAGAGAAATTGAAGATTGTACGGAATCGTGTTGTCGCTTTTTTTCTCATAACCGCAAAAATGTTTCCCAAAATTCACATTTCGCTGAAAATTTCGGTGTTTCCTTTAATATTCTCAAAACACGTTGGCGACTTTAAATTTCAAAAAAAAAAAAATAAATTTGACAACTCCTATTTGATAATAAAAATACTAATTAGTTTATTTAAAAAAAAATATTTTTTTAAAGGCGACTTTTTGGTAACTCCCGATAGTGACGAGCAAGACCACCACTCAACTCATTGCAAATAAAAAATAATGTCGAAAAAAAAGAAACAGATGAGAGGAAGAGAGGTTAAAAATAGGGTGTTGGCCAAGGTGGGGGGTTGCATTTCAAACGAAGCACTGAACTCGTCCCATTTTGTGCACATTCCCAAATGTCAGTGTAATATTTGACGTGGAACATATGGGATGTCGACGAGCTCCTGCGAATGAATGAATCAAAACCGCACAATGCTTATTTATCGATTCGATTCGCACACAAAAGCCCCCCGTCACCACCCTATTTAGGCGTCATAGTAGAAGCTGACGGATCGCTCGTTTCCGATTGGGACGCCCGCTTCACCGGCGATGTTGCCTGTCGTCGAATACCACGATCCGAATGGATTCGGCGATCCATGGCGATCATAGTGAGTGTTTTGATCCGGCGGTGGATCAGCTGAAATCCTCTTTTCAAAGAAAAAAAAACGCAATTATTTTCAAATCCTACTAGCACTCTGCCATTTTCGTTCGGTGTTCTCCGAGTATTTGTTGAACATCGAATGCACGTTGTTTTGGAAATTCGAGAGAATGAAGAGGTGCCAGAGCGGCTGGCAGATGATCACAAACACCCAGAACGAGATGCGAATGATGTGGTCGCGAAGCGATTGAAGCTCGTAGCCGGCGACGGTTCGAGCAACGAACAACAGCGGCACGTGGACGGACAGGCCGGTGAGGAAACATCGGATGAAGATTGAAGCGAAAAGCTTAAAATCGCGGTTGAATGGTCGTGCGACGAAATCAATCAAAATTGCCTGCTTCGTCACCGCGGTATTCTCCGACCAATTGTAGCTCCAGCGATGCTTCGACTGCCTAATGCAGTAGATCAAAAGGGTGAATGATAATAAGCAGAGGCATCCGATCGGCGCCCATTGAACGGTGAGAATATGACGAAGATAGTACTCATCGCCGATGACGTCGTCAAATCGACATAAATTGCTTATTCGAATTGTTGAATTGTCACGCGTCTGCAAATATTCGCTTAATCTCTCGGCCACTCAACCCCGATTTATCAAGTTTAAGCCATCGGATATTCAACTTTTTTTCTGAAATTTCTAGACTTGTTTTCAAGCTTCAAAGTATCCCATAATCATCATTACAAAAATGTTAAATTCTTTATTTTTTTAATAAAAATTTCTGATTGATATTTGAGGCACAAAAACTAATTATTATTGAGATTTTTTTGGATATGATAATTAAAGGCGCACGCAGTTTTAGCACCAAAATACCGATTCTAGTAGTAACAAACTACATATAATTTATAAATTACAGTAATTTTGATTCATTGAAATTTTCAGTACTTTGTGTGGTACACTAATTCCCACAATGGTGCGATTTAGTTTTAAAAAAAAAGAGAAACCAAAAAATAAATTTTTTAAAAACAAAACAGCTCACCTCAAAAGCGTACTCGAATCCGAAGAAGCTTGGAATAATAGTGCAAATTGCCAGAACAACGAAAAGCTTCCAATTGATGATATAGTCGCAGATCTAGAATGATGAGATTTTGAGAATAATCTCAGATAGGATGTGATTACCTTTCCATACGAAACCGGAATTAATATCTGGACGAATCTGTCGAAAGAAGCGAAGCACAACAGAACGATATGGAAGAAGTCGGTGTAGAAGAACAACGGAATATCAAGCGATGTGTAAATGCAATCAAACGGTGCCACATTCTCCAATGAGCTTCCATAAATGGTCACGAGGACGCCGTGAAATCCGCTGTAGATGGCGGCGATTCCACACAACAAATCTGGTCAATTATGCCGATTAATTGGGCAATTCTCTCGAGCGACGCTCACCACAAATCGCGAAAAATTGACAAAATCGAAGGTTTTGATTGATTTTTTGACAAATGTAGAGTGTGAATAGTGAAGTGGAGCAGATGATAAACCCGATAACCGGTATGATTTCGTAGAGGAGATCCTCGAGCATCTTCTGAAATGAAATGAAATGGAGGGCAATGTGCGACCTGACACTCACATTCACTCATCCCGCTAGCTAAGCTGCGGATTTTCGAAAAAAATATCGCCTTTTTTTTCTCCAAGAGCTTTAAAATATTGGCATTTGGCTCACAGAGTTATTCATAATCGAGCATATCGTATGATAATTCCAATTTTTCTTTAAAGGACCTAGACTGGGCCTGAATGCCGTTTTGAATTGAGAGAGAAATTTGAAAATTACAGTGAATACAAAAAAATCCAATTTTCAAGTCCACCACTATGGACGAGAATTTTCGAGAAAAATTGAAAGCAATTTTGATGACAGATTATGAAAATGTAAAAAATAAAATCTTATTATAAAAAAAAACGAACCGCATTGATTGAATGCCCATCCATGGAACTGCTCGAGCTCGTCTCAATCATCTTCTCAAATTGTCGCGACTCGCGAGCTCCTCGCAATTATCAACGATTTCCTTTTATAGTCGTGCCACCTTCCAACACCCTCAATCTAATCCTCAGCATAATCCCACAAATGTCTAATCGCTTTCTAAATCGAACGCTAAGAAATACTGTAAGCCGATTTGAGATTTTTCGGGAGAGAGAAAGAAAGAGAGAGAGAGAGAGAGAGAGAGAGAAATGAATTCTGAAAAACAATCATATTTTCGATGAGTTTTTTTGCGGCAATAATTCACACAGAAAAGAAACTATTTCTAAAGGGAGGAATCGAAAAACAAATTTAAATTCTAAAAATTCTGACTTTAAGTACTGGAACTCTTATAGCCTATCTAAAAAGTATCCCAGAGCCACGCTAATGAATTCGAATGCTTCCGAATTCCGCTCCTTCACTCATCTCAATTTCAAAAACTGCCGAGTTTTTGGAGAACCTTCCTGAATATTATTAAAAATGACTCATCAGAAGCCTTCAGCCACTCATTATTTGCTCTTGTCCAATTATTTTTTTTTGCAATCATTTGCTCAACACTCACTTCTTCTCTTTGTCTAATACAAATTCCACCATCACATAACATTCGTATTGCAATTTGACAGGTCCAACCTTCTGAAGACCTAATCTCTGCAATTGCACCACATTCTCGAACACCAAAATCCCTTTTTTTTTTCAACGTTGGCCTTTCTTCAAAAATTTAATATTCTCAGAGTTTTTAAAAAATTAAATTACATGCAATTTGAAATCAAAATTTGAATTCAATTGGTTGGTTTTGATATGATGCACTCGCCCGCCCTTTTTTCGAATATTTTCTTGATGATACGACCATTCTTAAATATTAAATTTCAGAATTGATGCATTCAATAAAAAATGAAGTATTTGAACATACGAACCTTGAATGTACTGAAATGAGGAAAAGAATTGAGGAAGTCGAAAGATCAATCAACGAGTTGAAAGCTCAAATGGACAGCGCTCACAAAGCTCAAACCGATTTTCAAAATTTCATCCAAGAGGTTATATCGAAAAATCTCAGCGAATACATGACGGACAGGATCAACATTGGACTTGAATTCGAGAAGAAGTTCAACACATCTGTGCACCGACTTGAGCAATCGATCGATCGCAAACTCAAAATGACAAATTCGATTTCATCTGGAGATCGTGGGCGAAAGCGACATCATCGTTCACGGTCCATATCAAAATCAAGATCCGATTCAACCAAATCAACGAGACGACGAACCAATGATGATTCATACAATCGATCAAGACGTGATGGTCCGAATCGTAACTGGACCCAACCAATCGTTAGGATGATTGCCAACAAGAACACCATTGACGGATCGGACCTCAATTGCGTTTACTGTCATGGTCCTCATTTCTCGGACAAGTGTTTCGTAATTACCGACGCCACCGAACGATGGAAACATCTGAAGCGAACGCGACGATGCCACAGATGCGTCAACGTCATCCATAAAGGGGCTTGCAGTCATCGCTGCTTCTATTGCACAAAAACAGGATACGATGATAAAGCGACGACCCATCATTCATCGACGTGCCTTTTGCCGACACAACTGATGTTCGAGAAGTAGATCAGAAATGTTAGCTCATCATCATTCACACATTTTTAAACAAAAAATGATACGATTCTCACAACCACCTATTTTTTTAATTGATAGCTAAAACAGACAATTCATATATTTACTAGTAATGACTTCATTGCGAAGACAATTATTTCATTATCGACGTCTAGTAAAAGTCGAAACTAAACCATGAATTACCTAAATTGTTCTTGTCTTTCCTCAATTTATAACTGTCCAAATGTTTCAAATATCACAGAATGCTTATCCTCTGAGCTTTCGGCAAAAACTTATTCATTCTGCTAATCCCAACAAAATACCTATTTACAAAAATAAATACGAATTGCTCAAATAATTTTCTCAACTCTTTTTCTCGGTCGTCTTAAAGCTATTTCCTAAAAAAAAAGTGCAGACCTGCAATGGGGCTTACAGGCAACACAGTCGACCTACACAGAGGCTTACAGCACTAATGCCCCTGTGCGGCCAGCAGATCTGCGATGGGGCTTATAAAAAAGCTCGATTATTACTGAGAAAAGCAAATAACAAAAAACAAGCTCAATGTAAAATTTCAAAGGAATACACTGGATGATCTTCTCAGAGAATTTGGCGATGAGCCTGAAAATATGCGTATTATAAGTACAGGATATAAAATATAGATGGCGAAAAAAACCCGGGGTGTGGCGAAATGCCAACTGGCGGTGTTCATTTTTTTGGTGTTGATTTACTAGAGTGGGAGAAAATAAAAGTTGGAGAGAGTGCAATTAGATCAATGAAAATTTCAAATCGCAAATTATGAAAAGCGTTATTTGTTGGGGTAATTTTTCGCAAAAAAAAACGATTCTCGGACCATCCTCTCAGCTCAAGCCGATACGAAAAAACTATCGAAAATAACTCAGATTAGCTCTTACCTGGTTTTCCTGCGATAGAAGTCTTTCTTCTTGTCCCGTTTTGCACCTGGATGTCGTCCTTAAAATTTGGTTGAATATTGAAGTATTGACAGTGCTGATAGGAATGTCGTCGGATAATACAATTGAGATGAAAATGTGATGACGGCTTCAAGTTCTGGTTGATGGTTGTAAACTTCTTGAAGATGTCCCTGTCTCGTAGATGGAGCAGTTTTTTTATTGTTGTCACCATTTTTTTGTTTTTTTTAATCAAATAGTTGGCCATTTACCTTGAGTTGATTAACCTTCTCCGATTCCACAAAAAGATCTGATCGTATTTCGGGAATGCGTGTTCCCAAAACTATATGTTTTTGAATGAATCAAAACGAATCTACCAGTAGACACCCGAGTCGCATCCGACACCCGCCGTCGATACTCGAAGCATCTTGCACCCGGCGACGCAATTCGAAGCAACTCACATACACGTGCCACATTTCATATCAAATGCGTCGAGGCGGAACATCCTGTAGATGGACCCAGCACGTTTAGCGGCACGCCTGATCAACTTACCGACAAATGGCCGCAATTACGACAGTCATATCCTGTAGACCAGGAATCCGGCAGCTGGTAACTCCAGCCGCCGTCATCTCCGTTTAACAGACAGACTCAGCCACAGAGCGAGCTGCAAACTGGCACGGCTTAGTCTAGTACGATAACAAGAACACTTAAGCTCTTCAAATTAGCGAAACGGCTGATTATATCCTAGAATAACATTTGCCCGAGCATGATGAACAGCTACAAGATTCCGCACTATATAACATCCAAAGTTCCCGAGTAATTCGCTTAAATTCCCCTCGAACACTCGCTCTAGCTTCCTAAAATGTTGATCGACGAGCCTCACAGAAGCCAAAGCGTGGCACACCTTGGTACGTCAAGGTGCTTGAAGCCAGAGCTTCGATGGAAACAATCGCACGGAAGGTTTTCGGAACAGAGCTAAAGCGCGATCTAGCCAACGAGTACGTCGAGAGCTACAAGGCGGTGACCAACAATCATCTCAGGCAATGCGAGGTGACGCGAATCAACGCCGAGATTTACGCTCTCGAAGAACGGGATCAACGGCGTCATCGAACGTCTCCTTCAGGCATTCCCGGAACCCACGCCGAAAAAAACCTCACCCGACAGGACGAACGAGTCCTCTTCACAATCCACCCTCGCATGGATTAGAATCGTGACGCGGATTACATCCTGAATGCCAGGTTAGCATTACACGCATTAATCACTGAACCACTCCTCACTTACTAACAAAGGGTGTTAAAACGATGAGAGTAATTTCTGATTAATCCCCCGGCTGCAAAATATGGTCGAAGAACGCGGATGGATTCATTCTATTCAGTTGAATAATAACTAAGACGGGTATAAAACTTAAAATCTGAAGAATTCTTCTCGTTTAAGAAATTTGCTAATCTCAAAATTAAGTATTTGAACTAAACATTTAGAAAAGTTCATTGTGAAAATTTGAATAATGAAAAAGCATTTGTGAAATGTGAGTTATTGAGTAAAAAATTGACCCACGGATCCATTTCAAATTCGTATCGATTAAAATCATTCATCAATGCCGATAGAGTCGAACATATTCTGCTCCGCTTAATTTTCTATTGGTAGAAGAACCACGTTCGCATAGATTTCTTACCATTTCAAGCAACGATAAAAAGAAATAATTAAAATAATCTCACCTACCCTCCCGCCCATCCATCAATCTCGAATTTAATCAAATAGAGTAGATGGATTCACTCTATTCAATAGAAAAACAAGAAATATTCAAAAAATTTTAGCGTAAAAATCATCAAAATGAGATTAAATTGAAAAATTCAAGCAAGAATCAACTGGTTAGAATTGGTTCTGCCTGCCTCCCACCCACCCATCCATCATTTGAAAACAGAAGAAGAAGAAGAAGTGATGAACACGAATAGAATGGATGGATTCATCCTATTCGGTTCATATTGTAAGAAAAACAAATAGATGAAAAAAATGGAAGGGTCAATATAAAGACGACAAAAATGGTAATACAATAGCGATAATCTTTCTCATTTTCAGAGAATGAAAGGAATCGATAGTAAGCCAAATCACACTAGAGTTTGACAATTGAATGTAACAATACGGAAAAATTCATAAAGAAAGAACACTAAAATGAATAAAAGCTTCAAATTTAAATTAATCATAATATTTAAATTAATCTTAATAAATAAGATGAATTTTTGTGTAATTTGGTGTGAGTAGAACAATAAAATTATTCGAAAAATTGAGCTGAACAATTAAAGATTGTGGAACTTTCCATTTATAAGAGATTTCTCTTTATGCTTTAATACTTATTATTTTTTTTAATTATCGTGTATTTTTTTCATTTGTTTTTTTTTCTTCAATATTTCTTTTTTTTAATCAAAGCGTGAGATATGGGGAAAATAGGTCGAATACATAACAGTTTTAATGGGAATAACAAAAATCTCACGTTTTATAATCGCTTCCGGCCGTAGAACTGAGATTGATAGAAAGCTTCTGTTTTTTAATCCTTTCATGTGATTTTCGCCTTCTAGAAATGTTGAAAGTTCTGAAAAAAAGGAATTAAATTTGAAAATTTAATAAATTCTTGTTACCATTGCGATATTTCCGGTGATGTATATTTCAGAATCGATTGTCCGCCAGAAAAAACTTACGATAAAGAGAAATACTGACATAATTTCTCCTATTCTCCCACCCATCCATCAATCTCGAATTTAATCAAATAGAGTAGATGGATTCACTCTATTCAATAGAAAAACAAGAAATATTCAAAAATATTAGCGTAAAAAAATGAGATTAAATTGAAAAATTCAAGCAAGAATCAACTGGTTATAATTGGTTCTGCCTACCTCCCACCCGCCCATCCATCATTTGAAAACAGAAGAAAAAGAGATGAACACGAATAGAATGGATGGATTCATCCTATTCGGTTCGTGGGGTAAGTAAAACAAAACGAATCGATGAAAAAAAAAGGGTAATACAATAGCGATTATCAATTCTCATTCTTAGGGAATGAATATAATAGATTGAATAAAATTGTTGAGAGCCAAACGACATTTGAGTGTGAGTAGAACAAAAAACAAATTAAAAAAAACAATATTTTTAAAAGAAAATTGAATATAGTAATTATCATAGTAATTATCTGATTTAGGGATGAGGGGGAAAATTCATAAAGAAGGAGACCTAAAATGAATTGAAGGTAGGAAGTTAAAAATATTATTTTTGGTGCAATATGGTGTGAGTCGAACAATCTAATTTGATATTAAAAATAGAATAATCGAATAATTGAGCAGAACAATTAAAGATTGGAACACTTTTATTTTCATTTTTGTTTTTAACTTTTTTGGTCATCCTTCATATTTTCTAATAAATTCTTTTATTTTTTTATTTTCTTTTTTTTTTATTATTTTTTCTTTTTTTTCTTTTTTCATTTGTTTTTTTTTTCTTCAATATTTCTTTTTTTTATCAAAACGTGAGATATGGGGAAAATAGGTCGAATACATAACAGTTTTAAAGGGAATAACAAAAATCTCACGTTTTGTAATCACTTTCGGCCGTAGAACTGAGATTGATAGAAAGCTTCTGTTTTTAAATCCTTTCTTGTGATTTTCGTCTTCTAGAAATGTTGAAAGTTCTGAAAAAAAGGAATTAAATTTAAAAATTTAATAAATTCTTGTTACCATTGCAATATTTCCGGTGATGTCACATATTTCAGAATAGATTGTGTGCCAGTATCGCAATTCAGGAGCCAACAGACACTGGATATTATTTTTCTAAAAAATATTAATTGAGTAAATTTGAAGATTTTCTTACCATTGTTCTGTTGAAAATGGCATTTCCAGATGGTTTTTCCTTTTGACTAGCCGGTTTTCATCTCTTACAGTTTTCAAGTATTTGATCGCATTTGAAGTTGCTGAAAATGGGGGAAATAGGCTATTTTGAACAGAAGTTCAAACTTACTTAGCGATTCAGACAAGATTTAGAAACACTTCAGACCCATGAATGAATTCTTTTATAATGGGCCAACAATATTCAAATATTCGGAAAACAACAATCGAAACAAATAAAATCTGAATGAATAATAAACATTTTTTTCAAAATTTAATGAAAAATTACCATTCTGTTATCAACACAAGACCTCCTTTGAAAATAATGAATCCAGTTGAATAAAAAATGATATAAATATCATTTTCCCTTCAAAAAATGTGTCTTGACACGAAAAAGAAGAATAACTTATGAAAATATCAAATAAAGGGTATTTGTAAAATTTTTCATACCTGAAAAACAGGAAATAGGAAGAAATGAGACCAGAATAGAAGCGTCATCTGACTTTCTGGTTGATTGTTTTCGGACATTCGTTGTAGAGCCATCGAATATCTGAAAAAGATTTATATATTCTGAATTAATTGAGAATATTACCTTTTGTGTTCCAGAAAAGAAAGGCAATAAATGCAAAAAACCAATTCAGAAGGATTGACTATTGAAGCATTAAGATATTGATTAGTTGTGCGAATTCAAGAATCTCGGGGCATCCAATTTGATCGTCCTCATTTCAAAACATTTAGATGACGGATTGAATACTGCAGTTGGGGTGAAAATTTTCAACGAAGGGTTAACAATTAACAAACAAACAAATAGAATATCAATAGAAAAACACAAAAACACAAAACAAATGGTAGAAATTAAACATAATACAACAGTATAAAACAACAAACACTAAAATATAATACAACTATATAAAACAACTATAATACCTAAATTTTTACAATACAAATTTAAAAAAATATATTTAAGGCATTTTTTTTTTACTTTTTACATTTATTTTTTATTTTTTTGTTTTTTTTTTAAACTTTTAATTATTTTTATTTTTTTTAATTATTTTTTTTGTTTTTTTTTTTTTAAACTTTTTTTCTGTATTTTATTAATTATTATTTTGTTATTTTTTTCTTTTTTTGTTTTTTGGCCTTTACAAAAAACAAAACAATGACATAATGACGAATATGTCAATAAAATGTTCATTTGACACTAAAATTCAGATATTTGAATAAAAAAGTAAATTAAATACTCACAATTTGATCCTATTCGGATTTTTTGACACTTTCCAGTCGAATTCTTGTGCGAGTCGATCGCATCAGTCTCTTCATTGTACATTTTCAACTAAAAACAGTTAGTTTTATGAAAAAAAAGTAAAATCTTACTTTTACATGAGCATCATAATCCACTGCCTTTTTCATTGGAAAATGCGATTTTCAATAATTTCAATGTTACATTTTTAAATCGAAACGTTCCTATATCAATCAGGTTAATCGATTAAATATAAATTCAAGAATTCGAAGAAATTCTAATTTGTCAAACAAGTTTCTTTTTAGAAAAATTGAAAAAAGAAATTCCTTACCACAAAAATGACAAAGTTTGCTCCGTTTTCAGCAGGAAGCAAGATTTTCCGGTCAATTTTTAAATTTTGTCTCGGCAAAGATTCGAAGAACTCATCTGGATGTCAACAGGAGAAGAAAAACAGTATCTGAAATTGAATTTAAAATAAAGTTTCAAAAAAAAAACTCTTACCATTATCAACGATTGATTCGAATAAATTTTTACAAAGAAAAAACCATTACTCCTTTTCTTGAACACCGTTGAACAATAAAAATCGAACAAGACTAAAAATCTTAAATTATTTGATTATCAAGAAAGAAATGAAAAATTACCTCACCATTAATACGTTGTATCAGATGAAAATCAATTCCGTTCGGCGGATTATAGAACACTTGCATGATGATACAATTTTCGCGAATGACGAAATACCGATGAACCAATGGCGAAACCAATCTGAAAGTAGAATATTAATGAAGAATAAAAAAGAAATTCATACCATCACAAACAGAACTGGAACAAAAAAATTGGCGACGACATCTGAATAGGGAAACACGTATAAAAATTGTTTAAATGAGTACTGTCACCTTGAAATCGTGTAAATTCACGCGACGCACAATTGCATATTTCTATTGAACATGCGTTGAATGAATTTTTAGTTCTTCTGGCCGTGATGCGGTTTCTTTACAAGAGGTTGCTGGCATACATTGATCGAATGTTGCTCCTAGCTCGTTCAGCGGCCATCCGTTTCGGTCGCGCCTGTTGTGGAACTTGAGGCATTGGTGGCGGATTGGCGATGGCTTCTTCAGCGATACCATCTGCAAAATGGAAATGCTTATTAAGAAATAAATCTGTAGTGCCAGAAAAAATAATGTGCAGAATTCAACAAAAATTCTAACTCAGACGTTAATTTGAATTAACTTTCAACATGTTACACATTATTTTTGAAAAATGAAATTTAAAGATACTCACTAAGCTGTGGTATGAAGTCTTCGATTACCAATCGAAGATCACGGCGCTCTGCCCTCACATCGGTTCGTCCGAATCGCGCCAAGTTGGTGTTGGGAGCGACGAGGATCCTCTGCGCGTTCGAGATCACATGGACGCCGCAATTGTACCCGTCCAGCTGGGCCTCCTGATGGCGCTGTGGAACCCAGCGGACTGTGGAGATGGTGGTTGGGTACAATGCGGCCAGGATCCTCTTCACACCCTTCGAGACGGCTGCTCTCTGCTTCGGCGTGCGGTGTGCGGCAAGCGAGTCGTAGATACTGCACTTGCCGCTCGCTCGGCGATAGGACGCGAGGTGCCAGTGCTGATCTTGATGCACTGGCATGAAGAGCACCACGCAGTCCTCCCGCACGCCTACTGTGCACCGCCTCAGGACTTCTTCGGCATCGTCCCCTTCCTTCTCTTCCACCATCATCTTCACGGCCGATGGCAAAACGACGGCGACCTTCACGTGTGTCGACTCGACCAGGTTGAGCAGACCTGACAGCACGGCTCCTGACGATACAAATGTGTCGTCTCCTTCTGGCCTATCCTCCAATGACACCAGACCACCCAATGCAGCTCGAATCGCAGGGTGAAAGTGGTCTGGTGTCAGCTGCATCACTTCCGGCTGCTCCATCTCTTCGCGATCTTCATCCGCTTTCATCCATGCCAACAGAGATGTGTCCTCCGACGTTTCCAATTGCATCTCGAGCTTCTCAGCCATCTCATCCACGATCTCGACGACGTCGATCACATTCGTAACGACCGCTTCCACTGCCACCTCCAACTCCTCCGCGGGCTCGTCAATCTCCTTCGGCTCCTCCTCCTGCTCCATCAACAAAACTTCCGGCACAGCCTCCTCCTCCTTCTCTTCTTCGACCACTTGGACGACCAGTGGGATTCGATCTTCGGGGGTGGGAATCCGGCTCCACTCCAAGTTGGCCGATGCCAGCTTCTCCTTCCTGTCCCTGCGCGCGCGGTACTCCGCCAGCAGCCGCATCGAATCGTGATTCGAGCAGTTGCTGGGCACGCAGGGACACGTGCCGTCGCACTTCACCTCATCGAGGAGGCAGGGGCACGACTCCGAGCATCCCGCTTCGGAGCAGAAGCTCCAGCAGAATGCTGCGGAGCATTCTTCTTCAACCACCGACTCCGTCAGTGGCCCCAACTCCTCCTCGATGTCCTCCTGGCTGAGGATCCTGGGTGCCTTCGGACTCCTCGGCACATCCTTGAGCTTGGCGATGCGGACCTCCAGCACCTCACCCGCCGCCCGGGTCCTCTTCCTTCTCAGAACGGGCCCTAAACCCCAATAAATAGCCGACGATCAAGATGCAAGTCTATTCTCAAATCCATTAATGGCTTTAAAGGTGAATTGGCAGGACATAATAGATGCAAACAACGCAGACGAAAACGGAGAATCCGGAAAAAAAAAAACATGTTCGACCCGATAGCAACTTCCAAGAAGACCGTCAAATTTTAATCTTCGCAATCTACGTCTCCACCTTTAAAGCCACTGATGGCTAGTGCCTAAACAAGGCGCAGTGTCTCAAAAAAAGAAAATCATCATTCTCGTTTAATTTCTGCTCATATACTTCTAAATCGTTTTATATATTCACAGGAGATTCGATATCACCTTTTAACCCTCCTCTTTTATAATCTCGATGTGCTTCAATTTTTATTATCAGAAAAATGTTCCTTTAAAGAAAAGTTTTTGCTAGAGATTAGCTCGATTGCGTTTTTCAATGTTTAGCCACATCTTTCTAAAATCTCAATGTGTTCAAGGAATATTTCATCAATAAATTATCAATTTAACTAGAGATTTTTTATTTTTAAACTAATTTGTTATTGGGTCGATATCGGTTTGTCCCGGATGGTTGAGTCATTTCAATTTTTAAATATTGGATTTTCTAAACATTAATATATGTTGTTTTCAAACTTTTCGACCTTTCTGCTATAATATTTAAAAAAAAAACATACTACTACTAAATTTCTAGTTTTATTTTCGGACCTCTATTTTTTTTAAATATAGAATAACCTTTTTTACCTTTTTTGACTCGATAATGTCATAAAAGTCGAAAAACGGCTTTTTAGTAGCAGTAATCGATTCTGTCATTTTTTTTGGTAGTAACTAAGTTTCGTATCGTTTAAAAAAACAGTGGTTTTAAAATTAAATTTGTAAAATTTCTTTTAATTTCGAAAATTTTTCTACCGCGATGCTCAAATCCCGTTTAAGCTTGTTACTGCAGCTTATACACATTTTAATTTAGACTTTCAACACAATTATCCACCCCACAGAATTGCCTTTTTTGTTTCTTGATGTTTTTCTTTTATGTATATATTTATATCAAATAAATTTTTTCAGCGGGTATCATATTGAAAACTCGAAATGTTCAAACAAATTATTATCGAAGTCATGCAATATCGGAAAATTGAATTTGAAAATTGCAATATCAAGTGTAGATTTACGAACCTATACATTAGGATAAGTTAACTTTTCTCAAATTTTTTTGGCATTTAGCTAATTTTCCGCAGTCGCACGACGTTGACAATATATATATATATATATTTTTTTTAAGTCAACAAATTGTAATTCTCGGATGCTCAAAATTTCTTAAAACCACTTTGATGACATAGCAATGTTTGTCCGTATAGTTTGTTGTAATTTGCATTAATGCGTATATATTTATTTATATTTTTAAGAAAAAAATGTGAAAATTCAAAATTTTGACTTTTTTGAAATATTTCATCAAACAAATTACTTAATAAATAAAACTTCATGTTCTGTTATCCACTCATTTCAAATAATCGAAAAAATTATCAAATTTGAATTATCAAACGTGTTAGAAATGTTTGATCTTAGAGCGAAATCAACAAATTTTCGCATACGCCTGTAATGTATACTTAAATTTTCAATATTCATACAAGAGTGCCAAAAATTGAATAATAAGCAACGCCTGCTAAATTCGTCCGTGCTCGACAATAGAAATATACGACAAAATTGGTAAAAATGACAGTATTGGATATATTTGAAAGAATTTTGAAATTTGTTGGAATTTCGAAAAAGAAAATATTTCTATAGTTTTTCGGCATTTTGTTTCCAATTTTCCGGTCATTCTCAAATAAGACATTTAAATTATTTTAAAAAATGAACTGAAATGTATCTACAAGTTAAAATATTCCCGATAATGCTTTTGTTTTCTTAATTTGAGTTGATTAACCGAATATTCGACCAGTAATAAAAACGGCCGTAAATGAAATGGCCGGCAATTTTTACGGTCACCAAATGTAGGCCAAGCCTAACAAGAAAACGCAATTTGAAAAATCAAAAAATGTCCGGTAATCGAAAATATGAAAAGATCAAGTGAATAGAATTCATAAATATTAAAATTTGAATAACATAAGACTGCTTGAAAATTTGGGTCAGTTGATGAACGTCATTTAAATTGAAATTCAGGCCAAAAATTCAAATACTCGTATATTTGAAAATTTCAATTTTTTTCGGCGAACGAATTTTTAAATCTTCTATTCAGATAAAATAAGGAAATTATTTTTTAAGTATTTCAGCTTATTCATCAAAGTGGTTTTTGCAATCAAAAGTAAATCAAAATTGAAAAAAAAAAATGACGCACCCTCCACAATCTCGACGTGAATCTCTTTCACGGCCTCGCTGAAGCGAAGCCGCTTCGGAGATTCCGCTTCTCCAGCGTGCTCCGTGCTCTTCCTCTTCATAGCGCTTCTTCTCGTGAGCGGCATCTCTTCGCGTGTCAATAAAATTGAACTGAATTTCAGTTGACCTAAATTTCACGTGTCGACGTGTTAACTAGGTCACGTTCCAATTATTTTTTTCATCTTTTTTGCTTTAATTTTTTTGGTCTTAAAAATTGGAAAATTCGATTTTGAGGAAGTTTATAGGTTTTAAATTGCAGAGATTAATAATTTTTAGCAATTTATTTCATTATAGTTGTTTCAATAATTTTTTTTGAATATTATGGTTTTTTTTTAAAGAAATTTCCGTTAATAATTAATTCTTTATTTATTCTTTTTTGTTCGTGAACCATTTTTAACTGCATGAATTATGTAAAATATTAATTATTTCAATTTTCACGTGAACTTAATACTTAATTCGATAGAAATTTCACGCAATTTTTATTAATTTAAAGAAATTGATTTATTGGTTCAGGTGAATGCAAATTGTATTCATTTTCATTCATAAAATATATACTTGTTACTGATATTTTTTTTCGTAAAATGTTTTATTAATTTCAAATATTTCAGGATGCAATTCATCAAGTCCCATTCGAATTAGTTTTTTTGGATTCGCATGTAGAAATCGAATCAATTCAACGGCATATCCTTCCTTTAATTTTCCAGATTTCATCCAAATGTACTATTCACGTTAAGTTGTTTTCTTTATTTTATATTCTATTTTAGATAAAATTTTTCTGAGTACACGGACTACATTTTATTTTAAAAATTCTCTATTTATAATTAATTGAATCGATGAAATATAGGAGAAAAATCTACAAAATCTAGCCGAATTTCCTGATTGAAATCCGAATAACCAACGATTTTTGTATTTTGTGCAAAAAACTGTGTTCGGAGTCTTCCATGATACCGCGAGACAAATTCGCAGTCTTCTTGGAAGAAGAGCTACATATGTACCTACTTAAAAAAGCTTTCCCAATTTCTCGGAGCTTCAAATAGCTTTTCATATAGTTTTATCCCTATAGAGAATAAAATCCCCCAAAAATCCTTCGAACTAATATATTTTAAGATCAGGGCCGAAGTTTGGCGCCGATCTATGATGAGTATTTTTCCGAAAACTCTTGTGAAACACATCGGGGCCAATCGAAATAACGAGAAACGCCGACGGTTAGAAACGGCGATAGAGTGTGCGGTTGTGAGAGACGCAGTCGAATAGAGGGATAGCGAGAGAGTCGGCCACTCCCACTTTCGGCGGTATAAAAGACCGGAATTTCGGTATTTGTGCCAGAGCATCATGCGCACTATTCAATTCAAGCTAATCCACTTCAACGGTGAATCTGTCGAGTTCAAACTCGAGTCTTCTGAAGACGTCGTCGACAAATTGGCAGCCAAACTCGCCGAATTCGATCTTGAATTCGACAATTCGGTTTATTGGAAGAAACCGAAGAATGGAGCATTGGTGCCACTCAATGATCCGAATCACGTTAAGAGAATCCTGAAAAAATTCGGAGATTCGATGATCAAGCTGTACGCCTTTGGAGATCATTTGGATTCAAGCTCAGACGATTCCGATGGTGACGACGACGACGACGTCGAGGAGATCGTTGTGAAGAGCTGCAAGAACAAACGAGAGCACGGAAAGGGACATCGAGGATTCGGAAGGAAGCATTGCGACAAGTTCGGAGGACCACACAAGTTCTGGAAGCACTTCGCCCATCGCCGTCATCACGGATTCCCTGGACCACATCACTTTGGGGGCCCATGGGAATTCCCAGGACATCCTCATCACGGACCACGCGGATTCGAAAGATCGTGCCGATTCCGAGGACCATGGAACTTCAGCGACTTCGAAGGACCACGTGGATTCCCAGGACACCACGGACCATGGGAATTCCCCGGTCATCGCCACGGACCACGCGGCTTCGGCGGACCATGCGGAAAAGGATTCCGCGGGATTCGCGGATCGTTCGAATGCTAATTGTAAATACATACTTAATTTATTGTGTTAATCCAATAAACCTTTGTTTCAATTCGTGTTCAAAACAATAAAAATACATTCCAAAAATATGAATAATTCAAAAAGAAAAACTTGTAAGCAAGAAAAAATATCAAATAAGATGTTTTCAGAAAAAAATAAATGAGTTGTTGAGTATACCGGATGTCACTAAATACAATTATGCGCAATCATAATTACTAAAAAAATAATTGAGGACGAGCCAAAATACCCTTAGAATCGACCAATTTGTAAAATGCGCTCGCACACGTTCTTGTACAAAAACGCATCGCCTTTTAAACGCTTTCGTCGGATTCCAATCTGAATGTCATCATTGTATTCATATAGTCTGGGTTTCATTATTACCGTATCACAAATTTGAAGTTTGACCACCTCGAGTTCGACAGTCATGTAGCCATGTGCGCTCTCTTTTGATGCCGTGATTTTCCATCTGAATAAGTTCTCCATTTTTTTTTTCAATTTAGATATATGATCAACTAACCCATTAACTTCATACGCAAGTTTTTCGAGCTCGAACACTTTAATGAGCTCATCGCGAACTTCATCGGGTGACTTCAAAGCCGTCATCGAGACATTAACCATATTCTGAAATATTCGAATAACCCATGGAGAATCATTAGATCCCACCTTGACGTCTCTCAGAACTTGAGGCGAATCCTTCTGCATTTTTCTCGGTGTTAGCAGCGTAATCAGCTTCTCCTTCTTACGCTCCAATGATGTAAACACACGTTGGCCAAGACGTGGGGTTTTCGTGCGACTTCTCGGTGTTCGACCATCAACCAGTTCTAAAATTCACAACAATTTGACGATGAGAAAACGATGAAATCAATAAACCTCCACTATTTCCGCTGCTAATTGAAGCTGGTGATCCGCGACCACTTCCACTACGATCAGAAGACTTGGCGCGCGGTTTCGGCTTCTGTGCATTGTCGCCTGGACTGAAAAGTCCGCGAATAGTCGGACGATTCGGTGTTGTAGTGTAAACACTGCGACGAGTGCCATCATCTGAATCTATTCAAAATTAGTTAGAATAGCCATGAAAGGCGGACAATTTCTCACCATGAATACGAAGTGGTCCACGAATTTTGCAAGTCGCCGCTCCCACCCGATAATGATGGCCATGATTCTCTTTGTCGCTCGAGCCGGTATCACTTGTCTGGAGCAAACCTCGCAATGGCGTCGACGCCGCCGTTTTACTCGTATCGATAGGCGAAATTCCGAGACGATGGGCAATCGGTGACCGGCCGGTGAATTGACTCGGCATGTTCAGCATAGCATTTACATAAGAGAGTTTCTAAAAAAAATTCCGCAACTTTATTAAACCTTCTATAATTGATATACCTTGTCCTTCTCCGGAGACAATGGTCGCGTGAATTTGGGAAGAATATCGCCCGACGCTCCGGAAGCATGATCACCAGACGACGTTGATTCGTCTTCTTCAAGTCCCGATTTATCGAGATTATTGTCGAGGGAAGCGTGAATCGTCGGCGAGCACAATATCTGCTGCATATTTTGCGGAGCACCGGCAACATTTGCTCGCGTTAATGGCAGCATTATCTCGCTTCCTCGCCGCTTCTTCTGTAGCAAAGCGTAATAGGTGGCGGTCATATAATCAAAATTCCATTCTTTGATCTTCTCTATCATTTTATCCGTTGTCTCCATGTTATAATATTTGGCCATAACTCGAGCAACATCTCGATCAATGAAATTTTTCTGAAATTTCAATCCAAAATTTGCATAGTTGGTGGTAACAAAAAAAACGCGGTTTGTTGAAATAATGACTCACATCATAAATAGTGTTCCATTTGATCGGTTGACTGTATTTCACATTCATCCATTCATGGGTCAGAAGTTTTTGCACGGTGATTCGCTCTTCTGGCCTCACTTGAATCATTGAGCGAAGGAGTTGTTTGCTAAGCGGTGACAGCCAATCGGGTTCATAGTATCTTCCAGACTGAAACTATCAAACTTCAAACATCACTTGAATTTTTAAATTTACCTGAATTTTTCGATACATTACTTGCAAATTGTCATCTTCGAATGGAAGTGCGCCGACCAACAACGTGTACAGAAGAATGCCCATCGACCAAATATCGGCTTCATTTCCTTTATAGGGAAGACCCTGAAAATTTTAGATACAAAAAATAAATGCACTATTCCGTAAAGGGAAAAATTAATTTAATTTCTTTTGTCAGTTTCAACGAAGGCGACTGTGGAGCTAAATGCAACAATTCCATTGTTTTTTGGCGCGAAACCAAAAGTATAAATTTTCTTTTTTTTAATTTTAAAACAACGGCACTCCAGACAATATTTATATAACAAAAATCTAGTTTCGCAAACCAAAAAACCTGTATGAGTTCAGGAGCCGCATATGCTGGAGATCCGCAGCAAGTATCCAAATGATGCTTATCGATTCGGCCCTTTTCGGTTTTTGCGCAGAGACCGAAATCAATAAGTTTTAAGTGTAAATCTTCGGTGAGAAGAAGATTTTCCTAAATATTCAATTATTTTCCATTTCAAGCTTCATTGATACCGGCTTCAAATCGCGATGAGCATATCCTTGTGAGTGCACAAATGCCATTCCACTAACAAGTTGGCGAAAAAAATGGCGTGCTTCGGATTCTTCTAAACGCTCTTTTCTCACAATATAATCGAACATTTCTCCACCACTACAGTACTAAAAAAACATGATTAAAAAAATAAAAAATACATTTGATTTTTATACCTCCATTATCAAGAAAAACTTCTCCTCAGTTTCTATATAATGATATAACCGGCATATATTTTGATGTGAAAGATTTCGGAGAGCGTCGAGTTCTGTTTTTACACGAGGAAGGTCATTCTGCAATCATTTGTTGTTATCTTCGATAATTTTTGAAAAAAACTATTCCAACCCCAACATGCTTCTTATCGATTATTTTAATAGCAACTTTTTGATTTGTTAGTAAATGTGTCGCCAATCGCACTTTACCGAATCCTAAAAATCATAATTTTAAAAGAAAAAAGTGAATAAATCGAACCTCCTGCTCCTAACTCGTCGTGAACTGCGTAATAACCTTGTAAGACCTCATATTTACTCATAGTACAATGAGAATAAATCTGCAATTAAATAGAAACAATAAGCGGATTATTTGAATTTGAAACTGTTCGCGCACTTGTCGCAGTGGGGCAAACATTCCTCCAACGCAGCTGCGCGTCTGCGCACTCTCAAGGCCAATAAATACAGCAGATAAGAAAATTTGTAGGCCTCTTCATGCAATAAGAATAAAAAATAAATTACATAACATGGATTGGTTCATAAGTCTTGAAAAATGGAGAAAGATCTCATGAATGGTAAGGAAATCGACGACAATGACAATTCCTCGTGGAAAAAAAACATAAATGTTAACAATTTATTTGTTATTTATGAAATACCGGAAGAAATCCCCTAGAAGTCTCTCGGAATAAAAAAAGCGAAAAATCGATTTACAATGGAATTTAATAATTACAGTAATTAATTTTGTTATAGGCACAGGCTCAACCATCGCGTTGGTCTCATATCGTAAGTGATACAGTACTGTATTAATTTTAATAAATATAACAAAATTCAAATTGGACAAGACTTTTTCTATTTCTTAACCGATAAAGTGGAATCCCCTTCAAACTACTAGTGCATATTAATTTTTAACGAATTCAATTAGATAAATTAAGTTTGAAATAGATTATAGATGCGCAAGTGTCTTCAAACTGATGAACGCCTGCGGTAAACGTACCACAGTCCATAGATTTTCTGGACTTTTTCTTTCCAATAACTTAAAACATTTTCAAATATTAGTAATATATTTTATTTATTATTAATCGTTGTCTATTAGAAATGTAGGAACCGTCATACACCAGTATACAGAAGATTTAAATAAATATTTGCATTTATGGATCGTTTTTGAATGGCGAAAGATCTCCGATGAAGTTTTCTTGCACATCTTCATCTAATCCGCATGGTCTTGTGAATTCTTGACCGCGTTCGTGAATCCATTTGTTAGCAACCTTGAAAATTCATAATTAATGTTTCATTAATTGAATGGGATTCATACCCATTTGACTCCAAGAAGAACTGGGCAGGCAGCGTGACGAGTTCTCAAGTCACCTTCTCCGCTTCTCTGAAATTATAATTAATTGCAAATTAGAAGCGATGATATAATTACCCTCAAATTGTACCAGAAGAGAGCATCGTTTTTCGTTGGGAAGACAGCAGTGCCAAGATGGTTGAAAACAGTCGCTCCGCCTTTCTCAGGTTGGCTCATCTGAATGAAAATAAATATTCACATGCTTAAAAAGGTCCAGTGATTTTCTGATTTTCATGCGCGCTAGTTTTTTTGTGACTAAATTACTTAGTGAGATTCCCACCACGTACTCTTTTCGGAACAAAATGTTTCACTCCAAAAAAGGCAAACGAAGGGTGACCGAAAAAAATTCAAACGCACACACACAAACACACGAAAATCACAAAAGTGCGTGGATGATATATCTCAAAAATGAATGCTCACATAGAACAGAACGGTGGCGATTCGATTGCCGGTGTTAAGCGTCTTGAACGCGTTCTTCTCTTCTTTCTAGAATGAACCAAAATTAAACAGGTCCCGATAACTTACATAGAATAACACTGTCGCTATGCGATTGCCGTTGCCACCGTATGGTTCGGGCTCGCCGCGCAGTGACATGTCATAATGCGGATCATAATGACCGCCGATGCCATAATTGGCGATCTGAAAGTGGCGAGAATGAATTAAGCGCAAAAATTACCCGGGCAAAATCAAAGTGTGGATCGTAGTGTCCACCAAGTCCGTAGTTTGCTACCTAGAAAACAATTGCTCAGTTATTGATAATGATGGGTGCTTAAAATTCACCTGAAGCTCCTCGGAGGTGGCTTGATTCAAGCTAGTAAAATCCTCAATCCTTCTATTGATTCGTGCAACCACCTCGCTTTCCTCTCCCTTGAGCCAAGCACTAAAAAATATCGTATTTTAATGCTTAATTCTTTATCACGTAGATGAACTAAAGAGAAACTGCAGGAAATCAAACAGCAAAAAAAAAGTTGATATCAACAAACCTCTTGGAGATTCTGTAGGTGGCGTGCTCGAGCTCTCCGGTCTTCGAGTTTTGCACGGTGGCGCGTTTCAACTGGAATATCAATTCACACACCAAATAAGGTAAACCAACACAATTCAAGGGTTTGAAGCAACAAAAAATTCGGAAGAGGGGAAAGAGCAATAGTTGAATCAACACACAACACCAAATTTGCACAATTTAGTCACCTTTTTGCAATACGATAGCTTACGGTAACAAGTGTGCCGTCTTCTGATTTCACCGTTGCTCGTTCCAACTATGGTATATTGGGTCATTGCATTTTTTTTTCCCAATGGGGGAATATCGAAAATAATTCCAATTTTTACCTTTGGTGAGGCGAGCTCCTTGACAACTTCGATTTCCGAATCGGAGATGACATCCTTGAAAAGCACGGCAATTGGATCGTAGCGAAGAATTTCGACCTTGATTGGCGCAAGTTTCAAGAATGGGCGGTCTCTCTGAAAATTTGCAAATTTCCAAGTTTTAATGCATTTATATTGAAACCTTCAAGTAGCACTTGAGTTTGCGCGCCATATTTGGCTCCATTGGCGGAATTTCTCCTCGACACAACGCTTCATAAGCATCGCGCTCAACAATTCCATCGAATTCAACGCGCTGAAAACAAATTTTAATGGAAAAAAATATGTAAGTGTCGTAAAATGTGACGCATTAGTGTAAACACCGTAACGTCATGATACACAATTTGTCTTCGAAAAATACCTTATTCACGATTGGTGGCAATTCTCCTTGCATGTCTTTTCCTTGGAGCATATCTTCGTACCATTTCACATTTCCCTTGGCTCTCGGATGATTTGGAGCAATCTTTGCAAGTCTCTTCGTCAACGCCAAAGCTCGTCGAACGTTGCCTTGCTGGTAGAGCGCGTAAGCGAGATATTCAAGAATTTCAGACTCCTCAACCGTCGGCGGATTCTCATTCTCAATTTTGTTCAACGCCTCTTGCATCCACATAAGAGTGTGATAGTAGTCCTTTTGATTATAAGCGGCACGTCCGACCTCGAAGATGTCATGGCCGGAGAGCTTATGCGAGACCTTCTCGCCGCCAATGATACCATTCGCCAAGTCATGGGTGTCCAATTTGTAAGTGTCTTGTAGTCTCAAAAGTGCAACAGCCGCTCCGCTCAAGTCCTCCTGTCCAGGGAACTTGACTTGACTTCGGACGCGATTCTCGGTAATATTCTTGATGAACGTATCCGCCCTGTTGTTCATCATAATGTTTTCGACCTAGAAAAAAAAACGGAAAAATACAGGTTATCTGTCGATTTTCACTACCTTCTTCCATTCCGTCGTCAATCGCTTAATGAGAAGATAAGCGTTGATCGGATTCGTGACAAACTCCGGTCCAACTTCCTCAGCATGTGCATTACGATTAACATAATCCGATGCGAAACTGCAAACCTCATAAATCATTCGACTCGACGATTTATTACACAATTGAACTTCAACTTGAGATAACGGATCAAAAGATTGATAACTCACCGTCTCAAATCATCAAGTCGCTCTTTTTCAGCAAGAATATATTGATCGATGATTCGGGTGACATCTTTTTCAGCACCAAGCATATGCTGAAATTGTCGTGTCAACGCGAAATGAGAAGCCAGTTACCTGGAGGTCAGCGATCGCTGTGAACAGATCGCAAGTTACAGCGCTTGCAAGGAGCAAGCCAATCAGTACGATTCGCATTTCTGCAACACAAAAAAATCCAGATATGAAGTTGCACTAAAGTGCGAACGAAAACAACGAGGAACCGTTGGGTGGCGAGAAAAGAAAAAAGGGAACAATTCGATCGAAGGAAGCAGCGGGCGAAAGAACACGTGTGTGTGTGTGTGTGTGTTGTAATAACATATAAACAAAACTCTATCATGTATATGAAGAAATCGTTTAGTTATATATTTTATTTTATTTATAAATAAATCGCGGTCAGCACGGAGACCCAATGCGAAAGATGTTCGGTTCTCGAATCTCGCTCGATCAGACCCGCAACCGGCGAACTGGAGCACCCTCTCGTGATCGTGCGCTATTTCTATAGGCCAAGTCCGACACCGTCAGCGACGGGGTCATTCTGGATGAATACATTATGCACGTAGTTCAATTGGGTCTACGTGCGAACCTGACATTTTGTATTCGCGAATAAAAAATGAACACATATCGGGTCATTTTGAATGGGTTTTTTTGACGATAATTAGAAATGTCGAATTTTCCAGAAGCGATTGGAAGTTTCTTTTTTTTTGGGGGGGTGGAAAAATAAAATTTCGAAAAATTTTTAGAGCAGGAAAACCTAGAGATTTGAACTCTTCGGAAAAGTAAGAAATAACAATATTATTGTTTCCACACGAAACTCCGTTAACCAAATTTGAGATTTTATTTTCTTTCTCTTATAACCTAATTTTCTGTTTGATGAAAACAAACAAATTCTGACGAAGAAATTCGAAAAAAAAAAAAAACGAATGGCGAAGATGGAAATAAAATGTTTAGGCGACGTGTTATTAGAGAGATGAAGGAAGTTGGCGCAAGTTCGCGCGACGAACCTCGCCAGATCTTTTATACAGGCCTCGCACTCAATGCGATGTAATGTCGGTCCGCCGACGTGTCTGTCGCGCCGGCGACGTGCGATTCGACGCTCCTACGTGACGGTCTTGAGATGTCAACGCCGATGGTGAAGCTGCGCTGCTGCATTGGCAGATGCCTCGAACTGGTCTAATGTGGTATAAACAAATGTGAAAAACTCTTACGAACGATATATATTTAATTGAAGGCCTTACACGGAAGGAAAAGAGAGATGCCGTAATTTTGGCATTGAATAGAACTTCTAGAAACCGGAAAACTTTCAAAACGGAGATTTCACTACGCGAAAACCCTGAATTTCACCAAAATCTCAAACGAAATGTGTCAGTTGTGAGTTCATTCGGTTAAATTTCTTGGGCACAACTCGGATAATTTATATCTCTCGTTGAGATTCGTTCCAAATTTTTTGTAATTGCTTTTGGTTGACTCGGGAGTGTGTAAATGCAATCAGTAGCTGCCAAACCCCGATGCTTTTTGAAATTCATTTATTCTCACATACGTTGTTGCGCGGAAAACGAAGTGATCACAAACCGATGATTTACATCTGTTTTGCAACATTTTGATTTCCTGCCAAGTACAGCCCTACGATCTTCTACGTGAGATATTTCCGCCCACAACGCTTAGAAACATCGAGAAAACTTGCTTGCAGGCGATTCCGCACGAAACGATTCTCACTTGGAAATGGTTAGAAATCATTAACTATAACATCAACATAACTTCCAGCAAAAAAAAAAACTTTTGTGAATTTTAGATAGAAAATGATGTTATTTAGAAGTCATTCACTTGTTATTTTAAAAATGTTCAATTCGATACTCTGTGATTCGGTACTTATGCTAATAACCAAAATACTATAAAAAAAATTACGCTTTCATATTATTAAAAAAACGCACAGATCGGACCGGTTAATGTTTCAGTCTGACCCGACCCGTTACAAGTATCGGGTCTTATAGTCGGCGCCCGGTGACTGCTGTACGCGGGTAGATTTACGGGAATGCGTATTTCGAAATGGTCTCGCAAGGAATAACTGGTTATTTTGCATTTTATGGACCGGTTCGATAATTTTTTACTCAAATGGCATGGGAAATTCAAGGAAATGAGAAACTAATCGAGAAAAATGAAACAGCTCACATGAAAACAGCAAAATAAGCATTCACGCGTGGCGAGACCTTTTCAAGGTGCAAATCTACCCGCGTACAGCAGTCACCGGACCCCGACTACACAGTTCTAACATATCGTGCCGCCATTAGACCTGCGGCAGAAATTATAACGAATATGGCCCTCGTCTACAATACAATCGACCTACACATGGGCTTACAGCACTAACGCCCTGTGCAGCCAGCAGATCTGCGGTGGGATTTACAAAAAACATGGACCATCGCAGAGAAAAATTAAACAACAATGCTCGATTGTACTGAGCAAAATAACAGAAAAATAAAATATCGGTGACAATTGGTGAAGGAAACATTCCAACTCCGAAGAGAAATTGACAGCAATACGAGAAGCCTGAATCAAGCAAATGAAATTTCGAATATTGTGGTTCTAGTAAATTTGCGAAATCAGTCGATTTAAATTTATCCTTGACTGAATAATATAAGCACGTTCGCTATAATGCAATATACGCAGTTTCGCTGCCAGAAGAGCATTGGTTCTTAGCCAATTATATTTTTAAAACTTCTTTCAGTCGTTTGACGGACACCGACCATTAAATACTTTTAAAAGATTCGTATTCATCAAGTTCAATGTCAAAGCTTAACAAGTGGAAGATGGTTAATTTACTGAAGACATAAAGTTTAGGATATTTCAAAACATTTTTCGAGTTTCATATTGTCGGCGACAAACGACTGATCGATATTTTAAAATATTATCGACAACGTGCCAAACAGATTGGGCACAATGAAAAATTTGAAAGCATGGAACACTGTATGCGGCAAGCCCAACTCTGGTGTCATGGTGTCTAGAAACAAATAAAACGGTAATTATCAGCGTACTCCGCATTTTACAAGTCTACTCGTAGTTAATATTTAGTAAGCGCCTAAATTTTCAAATTCGTAAATCTACACTAATATTAGCATAATTGAAATTAACCGCCAGTGATCAGTTATTTGACTAAAAGAATACTATGTACACGTAATTAGTGAAGTATAAGCAGTTCTACTATCACATCGAATTTGGAGGGGTTCTCTCGAAATATCGAAATAATAGATTATATTTTCTTTAAAAGAGACCAAAATTCTTGACCAAAATGCCTTTAAAAAATAGTAATTGGGCATAAATTCAAAAAATTAAAACTAGTTTTAGTTATGGACAATTTGCATAAAGTTTTAATATTGCAACAATAATGTTGCAACGGGGCGTTCGTTATGTTTTATTATGCTTTTACACGATTCAGATGATTACGGAAATTACTAAAAAGCAGAATAAACACTTCACAAACCTATTTTTGGCCATTGAGGGCAAGTAGCCCTCAAACTGTGTTTTGTATTCTTATTCGCTGTCGGAACAAATGAGGCTTTTTTTTAACTGAGTCTTTGATTCTGAATTTACTCCATATTTTTCTCCATAAATTATTTATATACCATAATAACGTACCTATATTCTGATTTTCAAAAGTTTCACCTGAACAAACACCGAAGGGCTTCGAAAAATCTGCATTTTCAAATAAAATTAATCCTTGAATTTCTGCAAACCTTTGAACTCTTGGAAATCTTCGCTGTGAGTTTACAGGATCTTGGCGTTGATTATGGAAAATGTACAAATTAAATAAATAAAACTAACAAGTTTTCGAATTTTTCGAATTAAAATTTTTTAAAAAGTAATTTCGAAAAGGAACAAATGTCACTAGAATATCAGATTAGCGTGAGAGAATTGAATCGACTCCTTCTTTCGTTAGGTTTTGGCTCCATGCGCCGCAGCTTCAAGTTGAGAACCTTGATAAACCTAAGTGTAGCAAACATCAAAATTCCAATTCGACAATCAGACTGGCAGTATTAGATTACGGTAGACAAGCCGAACAGACCCGCAAGATTCGAAGGCAGTGAGAGATTGGCGAAAATTCGAACACAACAGCAAACAATAAGAACTCCAAAAACGGACTTCGAACTAATGCAGGCTCAGCTTAGAATCAAGAAAAACCAAACACAGCTCGAGGTGGGATCTTTTCTTTTTTTTCATTTTTTTTTCGTTTTTTTAATGGTTTTTTTTTTCATTTTTTGGTGACAACGCAGCTCCTTGAGTGCTCGTTTATCCCGAAGATTTGCTAAGCATGATCTGAAGTGGTCGGGATTGATAGAATCGAGCTTGACCCGTAATGTTGACTTGACCACTGAGTGCCATAGACGTCGTTCGTATTGTCCCATTTGCCTCTGGATGTCGTTGAAGAACGTCGAGTCATTTGAAGGAATGTTGAAGTATTGGCAATGTTGATTGGAATGTCGTCGGATAATACAGTTGAGATGAAAATGTGACGACGGCTTCGAGTTCTGGTTGATGGTTGTCGACTTCTTGAAGATGTCCCTGTCTCGTAGACGTGTTGTGGAAGCAGTTTTGCCTGGTTGTCACCACTTTTCTTTCATTCTTTTCATCAAATAGTTGTCCATTTTTCTCGAGCTGATTAGGATTTACGTGCCCTTCACCGATTCCACAAATAGAACTCGGACCGAATTTATTGCTCATTACCCCTTACTGTGTGGGAACTTGCGCAAATCTCTCATACACACCTTAGTACGGCACGGATATGCTCCGCTAACCTACCGCAGTCAAACAATGCAGCTTCAAGTTTAATTGACTGGGAAGGCCGGATTGGCGGTCTCAGCCCTATTTCCCGTTGCTAAGGGAGAAGGGGAGATGGGCGAAGTGGATCAGGAAAGACGTTCGGTTCCCAACAGGGACGAACTTGTTAGTCCCTGGGGGGGAGAGGAGAGGCTTTTTCGGAAAAACACGCAAAATCACCTTTCCTTTTCCTACTAGCGGATTTCCGCCGGACTTACGACGAACCGGCGAAGATATCATTTAACTGACTTTCGAAGTTATTCAACCCCAAAACGCGTTTTGCCTATCAGATAAAGCAATAAGTGAAGCAAAAATTGAGTGTTTCGTGAAATGCAATGAAAGGAAAAACA